GATCTTCCTGACCCAGGGGTCAAACCTACGTCTCCTGCATTGGCAGGCAGGAGCTTTACCCCTGAGCTGCCTGGGAAGCTCCCCGCATTTAGTATCCCAGCCCCCAAATCCCTCAATCAACCATCACTTCTTTTCCACAACCTCACCTGTGTTCACACTTGGCCACCACTTGGATGTGCAGCCTCTGTGGCATCTTTTAACCTTTGTTATCCCAGTGGTCACCGGCAGCACAACCCTATCCTCCAGCTCTCCCAGACCTTCTCCTTCACTGGCGTTGGCTTTTAAGCTCCTTGAAACCTACAGTTTCAAGCCCCGCCTTTTACTCCCAGCACTTTCACATCCTCCTGGAACGATCCAACTTTGTGACTTCTGGGCTCCTATACCCAGGCCGCTGTGCTCTCTGGAGGAAATGACTCAATGGTACAAGTTGGCATGGCAACAGCCTCATTACCTCCACCCTCGGCTGACCCTCTGTGGTCCTTGGCAGTCCTTTCCCCTCAGTGATTCTCCATCTGCTGCAGTAGCTCTTCGTCTGTTACCAGTCTCCTCATCTCCTTCTCTCTCCTTCCGCCTCGTCTGTCTGAAGATAACTTCCCTCCCAATCCACTGAAGACATAAAATCTGTCATGGAGGGCCTCTCAGTTCCATGCTGACCCTCTCACCAGCTAGTCTGTATTTGCACCTTATTTAGGCCACTTTCTACTCCCCCCGAGAAAGAGGGTTTCTCAGCTTTGGAGACCATAGATTTTCTTTAAGCATCCTTTGTCACTTAGTCACACCTGGTGGGCTACCGTCCATAGGTTTGCAAAGAGTCAGACGTGATGAAGCAACCTAGTATAGCTGCACACTGTATCTTAAACCTCTGCCCCAGCCAGATCTATTCATTATTTCCCACAACATATTTTATGGTTTTCTGATCATGGGCCTTTTCTCATTGAGCTCTTTATGTTGAATTTCAGCATATTTTCTAAAACTAGCTAAGTGACCTTCTTTTCCAAAATGTTTCCTTTTTTTTGATCTCTGATGTCCGTGGTTTTCCTTATGAACTGCTATTACACTTTTGTCTGTTCACTCATGTTAATTGCTCAGTCGTGTCCAACTCTTTGCAACCTCATGGACTGTAGCCTGCCAGATTCCTTTGTCCATGGAAGTCTTCCAGGCAAGGATACTGGAGTGGGTAACCATACCTTTCTCCAGGGGATCTTAATGACCCAGAGATCAAACCTGTGTCTCCTGCATTGCAGGCAGATTCTTTACTGTCTGAGCCATGAGAGAATCCCCAAAGAACCTGTTCTTAGCAGAGGATGATTATGATCCATCAACCCCTGAGTTATGGCCCAGCATGCTCCCACAGCATGCCTCTCTGTTCGTTACTTAGCCCATTTTCTCATGTCTTGGTTTAACTATGCAATTGACTATAAGCTCCAGGAAAGCAGGGAGAATACATTATACCTTTCTTTGTAGCCCACATCAGTCCTAATATAGAGCTTCACCTAGACTGAGTGCTCAGCAGATATTTATAAAGTGATCAATAATTCAGTCCTTTCAGGCTATGCTCCTTTCAGGACCACTTTCATGAGTATTTATGTAGATATTAATTAATTTAATATTACTAATGTTAGTATTAAGATGTAGATTATATATTACTAAATGCCATACATTTTCCAAGCTAAAGAAAACATACATGGAAAAACATGGCCTAACCTTTTCAGGTAACTTTTGCACTCTCAAGTTGTTCATTTTCAGAACTTTAAAGGATTTTTTAGTTATAACCTAGACATTACCAATTTATTCTGCAAAATTCCTAAACAAAAATATGCTTAGAAATTTAATTACTTGGGACTTGGAGACAAAATATTAATTTATGAGCAAAGTATAGCCTTACTGTAGTTTCCTCTAATGTTTCAGGCACTCTCTCTCCTCTCATCTGCCACTATTAACCTTTCCAGTTCTTGGGTTCTGTTATACTTCTTTTGTTTCCCATTTTTGTAACTAATAAAACCGTCAAGTTTTCTTGATGCTTATTAAAACAATTGAATGCTGAGGATGACGCTAAGATCTTTTTTTTTTGGGGGGGGGTGTTCCTGATTGTTGAGGTGAACTCCTTATTGCCAAATTCAGACTTAAATTGAAGAAAGTAGGGAAAACCACTAGACATTCAGGTATGACCTAAATCAAATCCCTTGCAATTATACAGTGGAAGTGACAAAAAGATTCAAAGGATTAGATCTGATAGACAGAGTGCCTGAAGAACTGTGAAAGGAGGATTGTGACATTGTACAGGAGGCAGGGATCAGGACAGTCTCCAAGAAAAAGAAATGCAAAAGGGTTGTCTGAGGAGGCCTTACAAATAGCTGAGAAAAGAAGAGAAGCTAAAGGCAAAGGAGGAAAGGAAAGGTAACCCCATCTGAATGCCAAGTTCCAAAGAATAGCAAGGAGAGATAAGAACGCCTTCCTCAGTGATCAATGCAAAGAAATAGAGGAAGACAATAGAATGGGAAAGACTAGAGATCTCTTCAAGAAAATGAGAGATACCAAGGGAATATTTCATGCAAAGATGGGCACAATAAAGGACAGAAATGGTATGGCCCTAACAGAAGCAGAAGATATTAAGAAGAGGTGGCAAGAATATACAGAAGAACTATACAAAAAAGATCTTCATGACCCAAATAACCACAATGGTGTGATCACTCACCTAGAGCCAGACATCCTAGAATGCAAAGTCAAGTGGGCCTTAGGAAGCATCACTAAGAACAAAGTGAGTGGAGGTGATGGAATTCCAGTTGAGCTATTTCAAATCCTAAAAGATGGTGCTGTGACAGTGCTGCCCTCAATATGCCAGCAAATTTGGAAAACTCAGCAGTGGTCACAGGACTGGAAAAGGTCAGTTTTCATTCCAGTCCCAAAGAAGGGCAATGCCGAAGAATGCTCAAAGTACTGCACAGTTGCACTCATCTCACATGCTTCCCTGGTGGCTCAGAGGGTAGAGCATCTGCCTGCAAGGTGGGAGACCTGGGTTCAATCCCTGGGTTGGGAAGATCTGCTGGGGAAGGAAATGGCAACCCACTCCAGTATTCTTGCCTGGAAAATCCCACGGACAGAGAAGCCTGGTAGGGTACAGTCCATGGGGTTGCAAAGAGTCAGACATGACTGAGTGCTTCTCTTTCACTTTCACAGGCTAGCAAAGTAATGCTCAAAATTCTCTAAGTCAGGCTTCAAAACTACATGAACCATGAACTTCCAGATGTTCAAACTGAATTTAGAAAAGGCAGAGGAACCAGAGATCAAATTGCCAACACCTGTTGGATCATAGAAAAAGCAAGTAAATTTCAGAAAAAAACATCTACTTCTGCTTTATTGAGTATACCAAAGACTTTGTGTAGATCACAACAAACTGTGGAAAATTCTTCAAGAGATGGGAATACCAGACCACCTGACCTGCCTCTTGAGAAATCTGTATGCAGGTCAGGAGGCAACAGTTAGATCTGGATATGGAACAACAGACTGGTTCCAAACAGGGAAAGGAGTATGTCAAGGCTATATATTGTCACCCTGCTTATTTAACTTATATGCAGAGTACATCATGCGAAATTCCAGGCTGGATGAAGCACAAGCTGGAATCAAGATTGCTGGGAGAAATATCAATAACCTCAGATATGCAGATGATACCACCTTTATGGCAGAAAGTAAAGAGGAACTAAAGAGCCTCTGATGAAGGTGAAAGAGGAGAGTGAAAAAGTTGGCTTAAAACTCAACATTCAAAAAACTAAGATCATGGCATCCAGTTCCATCACTTCATGGCAAATAGATGGGGAAACAATGGAAACAGTGACAGACTTTATTTTCTTGGGCTCCAAAATTACTGTAGATAGTGACTGCAGCCATGAAATTAAAAGATGCTTGCTCCTTGGGAAAAAAGCTATGACCAACTTAGACAGCGTATTAAAAATCAGAGACATTACTTTGCCAACAAAGGTTCATTTAGTCAAAGCTATGGTTTTTCCAGTAGTCATGTATGGATGTGAGAGTTGTACTATATAAAGAAAGTTGAGTGCCAAAGAATTGATTCTTTTGAACTGTGGAGTTGGAGAAGACTCTTGAGAGTCCCTTGGACTGCAAGAAGATCCAGCCAGTCAATCCTAAAGGAAATCAGTCCTGAATATTCATTGGAAGGACTGATGCTGAAGCTGAAACTCCAATTCTTTGGCCACCTGATGGGAAGAACTGACTCATTTGAAAAGACCCTGATGCTGGGAAAGATTGAGGGCAGGAGGAGAAGGGGATGACAGAGGTTGAGATGGTTGGATGGCATCAGTGACTCAATGGACATGAGTTTGAGCTAGTTCCGGGAGTTGGTGATGGACAGGGAAGCCTGGCGTGCGGCAGTGCATGGGGTCGCAAAGAGTTGGACACGACTGAGGGACTGAACTGAACTGAACCACCAAGTACTGTTGCTTCATTTCTGTACTTTTTTCCTTCCTCCCCTCTATTCTTTCAAGATCAGTGAATAGCAGTAAGTCCACATAGTTCAGGAAATTCATTCATTACTAAGCCTTCATCCTTAGCTAACAAGTCATTTGTTGCAATAATTTGTAGTTATTTCTCTTCTTGACTTTACATCACCAGGTTTCTGGCAATTGCAACAGTGAGAGAATAATCCATGTCAGAGTTACATTGGACAATATTTGAGTGATTGCTTTTTAAGAATGTTCACATATAAACGATCCAGTAATCACATACTTTCAGGGAAAATTATTGTAATTTTTAGCATTCTTCATAATATCACTGATTTAAAGACCTTCTCCCTTCCATTCTTTTTTGTTTTTCATCTATGCCTCTAAATAGTCATAACTCTAAATTAGAATTTTACCACTGTGTGTTCTACTGTGTTGAAAGTCTTCCAGTGCTTTATAAAGAAAATTTATTTTAATTGGACTTATCCTGTGATAGCACATATTTATGTAATGTTATAATTAAATTTCTGTACTCTTATTTTCTAGGTCACAAATGGGTACTTTTCATGGGGCAGTGGTTTAGCAACCTTATCCAATATCGATATTCGAATTCCAACAGGTAAGAATCATTTATTACTAGTTTGTAATTGTTTTTTTAAGGAACAAATTTATTTTTGTGAATTCAGGGGGAAAGCATTTGTCACCTCCAAAGCATTTGTTCTTTCATTTGAATAATTCATCATGAAATAATATGAAGCCATATTGTGAACTAGCATCAAGTTTGTATCTGTTCATTATCATGACTGTGGTTTTCCAAAAGAACTGAGCCTAACAAATGGAAAGACTTTTTAAAGACAAACATTACTGATAGTTATCTGTTAGCACTGTGAAGCTCATGAATCCCTGTATCCCTGAGAGAATGACTGGGAATTGTAAGACCTGCCTATCACGACAGAGTGGGGAACTTGAACAAATTATTTACCATCCAAATGAACTGTTTTTAGTTTATTTGCTGATTTGTGGCATTTAAATAATGGAGTAGTTGATTTCTCATTTTGTTGAAGAAAGATATTAAAGAAATAGTGTTTGAGAAAATAGTTTTCTATCCCCGAAGAAAACTGATGACGTTTTCAGATATTTAAGACTCAAATACCCTGTAGTTTTTACTAAAATGTTTGGATAATTGGATATAAATATTTTTTGACTTGGCCTCATGGTCAATAACTTGGAATTTTTCTATTAAACATGCAAATCAAAGTAAGAACTGATTAAAGTGATTAATCACTTTAATCTTAATTATCTGTTTTAGTCAAAATTACCTTTTTCTCTAAAATGAATTGAATAATAAAGGTAATACTAATCTAGGTGACTTAGGCAAGTATTTCACTGCTGCTTTTACTAGAGTCAGTTATTCTCATAATTTAAAAATAATACATCAAGGAACTATCCTGGTGGTCCAGTGGCTAAGACTTCAAGGGCTGAGTTTGATCCCTGATCAGGGAACTAAATCCCCCATACCACAGCTAAGACCTGGAAGAGCCAAATAAATAAATATTTTTTAAAAATAGCATATCAAAACCTATAGATTTTAATTTTCCTTCCCTTTTCCAAAAACCTTATGTATCAGTAAAAGGAGCTGTTTAGAATACTATTGCTTGGGACCTAAACTGGGCCATAGATTGTGGAACATCAGCCTTTTCTAAATGTGTTTTGATTTTATTTTATAAGTGAATTCCTTTTCATCCTGTTGTTATCCTTTGCTTCTTTTCTCTAGGTCAGTTAACCATGATTGTGGGCCAAGTGGGATGTGGGAAGTCCTCTCTTCTCCTTGCCATCCTCGGAGAGATGCAGACCTTGGAAGGAAAAGTTCACTGGAGCAAGTATGTGTATTTTTAATCAGTTTCTGTTGGTCTGTCACACATCCGATGATCTCCCAAGGGAAGGAATGAGAACAGTAGATTCCCATGTTCGAGGTCTGAGGGCCCCTTGGAAATAAGCACAGCTTTAAAAAAACAAATTAGTGGAAACTTTAAATGTTATAAGTTAAAAAAGATAAAAGAATTCATGATAGAGGTTTATAGTATGTATAAACTAATATATTGCTTTTAGCAAGATTGGGATCATAAAGGTAAATTTTGAAAGTTAAATGGATAACACAGATAAAGTTTAAAAATTTATCCTATAATTAAAGAAAATTTGCATTATTTATAAAGTTTAAATGCACACAGAGCCTTAGTGATCCTGTGTTCAGAGAAGAAATATCAAGTAATCTTTTTGAAACTCTTCCTAAGAGACTGAGAAATCATCCATTTCTCTTTACATCCAACTTAAACTAGACACTTAAAGTGTCTAGTTAGGGATGTGGCTATGTCAGACTAGTGTGTTGTGCATCCACAAAGACATTGTGCTTCTTCTGAGTGTTTGAATCTTTGTTTTGGATTCTTCAAAAAACATCGTAGTAATAAGGTTACTCCAGACCATACTATTACATAATTGTGTAATAATGAATAAGTCATATTTATTTATTTAGTTTGATCTATCTGGTAGACAGGCTTCCGAGGTGGTGCTAGTGATAAAGGACCCACCTGCAAATGCAAGAGACAAAAGAGACTTGGGTTTGATCCCTGGGTCGGGAAGTTTCCTGGAGGAGGGCATGGCAACCCACTCCAGTATTCTTGCCTAGAGAATCCCATGGACAGAGGAGCCTGGTGAGCTACAGTGCATGGGGTCACAAAGGGTAGGACATGACTGAGCAACTTAACATGCACACACACACCTGGTAGACCACCCCAACCCCCACAGTCATTATGGAGAAATTTCGAACAGCTTATCTATGATATTGGACTGTTGACAGTCTACAGTCTACAGAAAATCACTGCAGTGATTTTCATCCAGGTTATCCCCAGGGAACACTGGACAATGTCTGGAAACATTTTTTGGTTTTCATACTAAGGGAACTGGTTTGCTTACTGATCTAGTTGGTGGTGGCCAGTTCAGTTCAGTTCAGTCACTCAGTCATGTCTGACTCTTTGCGACCCCATGAACCGCAGCACACCAGGCCTCACTGTCCATCACTAACTCCCAGAGTCCACCCAAACCCATGTCCATTGAGTCGGTGATGCCATCCAACGATCTTATCCTGTGTCATCCCCTTCTACTCCTGCCCTCAATCTTTCCCAGCAGCAGGGTCTTTTCCAGTGAGTCAGCTCTTTACATCAGGTGGCCACAGTATTGGAGTTTCAGCTTCAACATCAGTCCTTCCAGTGAACACCCAGGACTGATCTCCTTTAAGATGGACTGGTTGGATCTCCCTGCAGTCCAAGGGACTCTCAAGAGTCTTCTCCAACACCACAGTTCAAAAGCATCAATTCTTCAGCACTCAGCTTTCTTTATAGTGGCCAGAAATGCTACTAAATATCCTCCAACACAGGACAGCCCTCCACAAGAATCCCCCTGAGGTGCAGGAGACCTGGGTTCTATCCCTGGTTGTAAAGATTCCCTGGAGAAGGAAATGGCAACCCACTCCAGTATTCTTGTCTGGAGAATTCCATGGACAGAGGAATCTGGCAAGCTATACTCCATGGGGTCGCAAAGAGTTAGGCACAACTGAGCAGCTAGCACACACATCCTCCAACACACAGGGCAGCCCTCCGCAGCAGGGAATTATCTGGCTCCAAATGTTAGTTGTGCTGGGGAGACCTTGCTCTAGACTTGCACACATCCATTTAGTTCTTATCATTGTAAGTTCCGTTGTGGCTTAATCTACTGTTAACCTACACAGACATCTCTTCAGAATGAGTCAAAACTATTTACAGGCATTTTGAGAATAGGTTCTATTTTAAACTCCAATTAAGAGACGGAAATGGTTGGATGTGAAATTTGAGCTGGAAACAGCAGAACTGTAAATCCTATTTTTGGTATCATTGGTGAAAGAAGAAAGCTGAGAAATGTGGCGGGTACAGTTTATTCCTGTTGCAATTGTATACATGAAACTGTTTAGTGTGTATCTAGCAGTGAGCTCGCTGAATAACTGCCCCTTGCAGTTTCATTCACGAGGGGGTCCTGTTGATCACTAAAGCCAGATGCTATGTGATGTGTGCCCTGCCACCACCGCCTTCCATCTTGGATGGATGCAGGTTTTGAGGAGCAGGTTTTACTGAATTAAATTATATCATGTGACATGTACGACCATAATGAAGTTATTTGGGTTTTGTTTTTACCTTGTTTCATTAGTATTAAAACAGAAAGAATTAGAGACCATGACAGAAAAAGCTTGAGATTTTATTTTCATACCTCTAGAATGTTTTTATGATCTACTCTTCTCTAGTATTACTCTGCCTGGCAAATTCACTCCCAGTATTATCATTAAGAATTATTATCATTTTGTTAATGGATAAATAGATGATTTGGGAATTAGAAAAGCATTTTACACAATCTGTTTATTTATTGAGTTTTCTAAGCAAGATACATACGTGTATATATGTATACATATATATATTATAGTTTAGGCAAATTTATACCATTTATAGCCTATCTCATTTCTTAAAGGTTGTAAAGTATTTTATTTAATATAACATACTATAATAAAGCTTGAAAAACAAAGATATCAAGAAAGAAAATAAGATTTAAATAATAATCTGAGCAATTAATAGGTAGAAATGCATGTTTTGGAGTCCTGCATATTTATAAAACATAGGCCACAAATTCTACTCTGAGTTCCATGGAAGCTAGTCAGAGAGGGAAGTATGAGATAAAATCAGACATATACTTAATAAAGGTAAAGTTTTTTTTAAGAAATAGAAAAGAAATATCTCCCATAAATCCTAATTTTAAAAAAGGTAAGAAAAGGTTATATCTTAAAGTCAGAGTCAATAAAATGAAAATATGAGAAAAATTTAAGAAAATTCTAAGTATTTATAAAATCACTATAATTTAAAAATCATCTCTTTATGAATACTTGTCTTAAGAATATCCCATCTGTTCATAGCAGAAAGGGCTAAATTTTTCTTCAAAAATATTTGAGTTGGCTCTGACACACACCCAATAAAAACTAACCCTTAAAAGATTGGATAAGCTAATAAAAAAAATTCTATTTTCTTTATTTACAAGAACTACTTAATTTTTTTCCATGATATCCATGATTATCTGATAAAATATATTTTCAAATCAAGAATGCTTAGAGGATACTGACCTTTTTAAAAAGAGTTATTTGCAATAACTCTTTATTCTGGGAAAAATAACTGTTGCACATATTCCAATAAGGAAAGTTATACAAATGTTATTAGAATAAAGCTAGTTTAGAAATTATCCATATTGACAGGTTGATTTTGTATAAATGCTGAGAAGTACTTTACCTTGGACTGAATTGTTTGCTGTTTTTTAAAGCTCAAGACAAAATAAAGTGAAACAGTCAAGGGTATGGTAAAGTACCAAGCACCTTGCTGTCATTCTTTCCTCATTGCCTGTATCTCTGGTTGCATGAATTTTATTTTTAAATGTGCCCTCATGGTTGGCAGGAACAAAGCCCTGTAAAGTACCCTGTCCTATTGCAGGAAGAAATGTTTACTTTGGACGGGAGAGAAGGCCCTGGTCCTCACGCAGGACAGACCCACATGGGTAGAACTTGGTACACAAAATCCATCTAAATATAGATGCCTCCTCGGCAATTGCCACCTTTAATGTAGTCTGACATGCAGTAGCCCCAGTAGAGAAAGGAGAGAGCAGTGAGGGAGGGACTGAAAAATTCTCCAAGCTTGTCGGAAGGCCAAGGGTCTTGCTCCTGCGTCTGCTGTCCGCTGTATTTGTTGAAAAGTAAATGTTCTGCCCAACTGAAGTTGTCCTTTCCTAGTCGTCATGATAAATAATAATTCCTACTGACATCCCAGGAACTAGAACGAAATAAAACGCTTCACTTGTTGGATGGTCCAGGGAGGGAGTCCAGAATATGTAATAATCCCAGTAATTATATAAGACATAACCATCATTTACCTCTGGCTTCCCTTACTTTTTCTTCCATCTTGCTCATGCCATCAGCCATCCTGTCAGACCCCATCTGTTGTGATGGTCTATTTTCTGATGTCTTAGTGTAACTGCCTTTATAGCAGTGGCTCAATCACTCTAAGACTTGGCCTGGCATGAAGGGCTAATAACACAATGAGTCAGCTTTCTTGGATCAGACATGACATAGCATGTTTGTGTTCACATCTAGCTTCCCCTTTTCCAAATACTGTTCCTGATTTCACCTTGCAGAAGTCATTCTTTCCCATTCCATAAGATACCAATGATGAACTTGGAAGCTGGTAGATTACCAAGTTTTAACTTTTACTGTTGAAGGAAAGTACACACAAATCCTGCATGCAAAAGTGAAATCGGATGCTATTTTCCAGAAGAGGATTTTCCATCTGACATGTTTTGAATTCAGGTGTTTCAGAAATGATGGCGTTAACCTAAAATATTAAAATTTAGAATAATAAAATCAATAAGTCCTTAGACATATTTTTCCCCTTGGTATAGGTATAACTAAATTTAATTAGTCAAATGCCTCATTTTACATTACTCATATAGATCAGTAATTAATTATACCCAAATGTTACAATGTGACCTATATACAGGTCTGTCTTTCTTTCCAGTTCCTTAAGGGCCAGGCTGTGTCTCAACCCTTCAAGTTTAGAGTATAAAAAGTATTTCTTCCTCTCTTGCCTTAGGGTAACTAATAAGGAATTTAAATAGATTAAATTTGAATTTTAACGGTAGGGAGTGCCTGGAGATATCAAATTCTAATACAGACTAGGAAAGTATTCCATAAAGATTATCCAAACTTACACAGCTAGTTGGAGCAAAGTTGGGGCTGCTACTGCTGCTGCTAAGTCACTGTCCGACTCTGTGCAGCCCCATGAACAGCAGCACGCCACGCCTCCCTGTCCATCACCAACTCTTGGAGTCCACCCAAACCCATGTCCATCGAGTTGATGACGCCATCCAACCATCTCATCCTCTGTTGTCCCCTTCTCCTCCTGCCCTCAATCTTTCCCAGCATCAGGCTCTTTCCAATGAGTCAGCTCTTCGCATCAGGTGGCCAAAGTATTGGAGTTTCAGCTTCAGCATCAGTCCTTCCAATGAACACCCAAGACTGCTCTCCTTTAGGATGGACTGGTTGGATCTCCTTGCAGTCCAAGGGACTCTCAAGAGTCTTCTCCAACACCACAGTTCAAAAGCATCAATTCTTCGATGCTCAGCTTTCTTTATAGTCCAACTCTCACATCCATACATGACTACTGGAAAAACCATAGCCTTGACTAGACGGGCCTTTGTTGACAAAGTAATGTCTCTGCTTTTTAATATGGTGTCTAGGTTGGTCATAACTGTCCTTCCAATGTGGCTATTGTGTGAACCCAAATTTTATATGAAGGAGAACAGTGCTGTCTTTTGGAAGCTTAATTATTTCCTAGTTGATGAGGATGTAAAAGAAGACTGTCATTTATCCGGTTTGTCTTTGGGATTAGTATCAACAGCCATTTGAAAGTGTAGTTATTTAATATATACAATGTTTATCTCTTATCTGATTTGTGCACGCATTCATCCTATATTTATATTTCATAATTAATGAACATTGTTTGCCATACTTGCAGTGTAAATGAATCTGAACCTTCTTTTGAAGCGACCAGAAGGTATTATTTCTATTTTAATCTGCGTTTAATAAGAATAACTACCTTCCTCAGACTTTTCCTGATATTCCATCTGTTACTCTTAGTCATTTTATTCATTCTGATAATGTACAAAGTTGTTTATTAAAATGGACTAGTAAATTTCTGATTGCAGTAGTTCCCAACATCTGGAAGCTGCTAAAAGAATTAATTTGCTGAACTAAATGGCCCATCGTATCAATTGTTGTCTTCTCCATGAGCCACACAGATCTCAACTTTGACTAAAACTCAAACAGTTCTTAGCAAATTGGATTTGGGATTTCATAAAATAAAGATGAAAGAATTATGTATATTATTTATGAGTTAAACAATGATGAAATCTGCTTGTAAACTAGAACTGGAGAACCAAGTACTTCATCTATTTAAAAAAAAAAAAAAGAAAAGAAAACCTTAAAGAGCAGGGGTGGCGGCAGGAGGGAAGCAGCCATGCCAGAGATTGGGAACCACTGTTTTAATGCACAGATGGTTATCTAAGAGACCACTAGCATACTATATATTATCATGCCCTCTGAACTCCTAAGATGTAATGTTTCAGGATGATCACTGAGCATTTCTACCTTTTTTCTACACTTTATTCTCTTTTAACCTTAATTCCTAAATTAGTAGTTACAGAACATAACTAACTGTGAAAGTGTGAATTTTAAGCTGACCCCTTCCCTACCCCAGGCTCATCATCCTCTTTATCTCCAACTCACATGCATTTTCCTAATTACTGCAAATTAAAATATGATGTATAGACATCTGGTAGAATTTGCAAGCCAAAAAGTGGGGCGCAGGGAGGAGGCTATCATTTTTTAAAAATAAACTGTTTCAATATGTATTGAAATACGTGGTTTTTAAATGTGTAGTTATTTCACTGTTGAAATGGACTCCTCAAAATTATTCTTTGCTATGAAATATTTACATTATCTATTACCTTCAAATATGTTCATGTGAATATAGTACAAACACATAATTACAGTATCAGTTCACATCCTTTTTAAAGGTATTCCTGTAAAATTCATAGTTAATGTATAGTGCTTTTAATATGAAGTAAAATATCTGTGGTTATTAAAGTTAATTGTTATTTATATTTAAATTATTGTAAAAATTGTAGTCATTTTAGAAAATAGAATTTTAATTAATAGTTCATACCTCAAAATATTTCTTTAGCATAGCAAAATCAAATTTGCATGTGGTGTGTTGTTTTAATTAAGTTCTAATCCCTTTAATTTAGTGGAATATTTAACCACTAATTAATAAGGTTGATGGTCATTAAAATATTCTTTTAGAAACTCTCCATTTCTGTCTTTGAGATATTTTTTCAACTTTCATTTTTCTTAGTTATACAAAAGTACAGGTACAGCACAGCTCTCTTGAGTAATTTTGATATTTTGTTTTTCTTTTCCATTTTCCAGTAGGAACAGGTATTCTGTGGCTTATGCAGCTCAAAAGCCTTGGCTATTAAATGCTACGGTAGAAGAAAATATTACCTTTGGAAGTCCTTTCAACAAGCAAAGGTAATTTTGAATGTATAAAATTTAGAACTCAAAAGAGCAACTATTTCTGATCCCTCTGTTTTGTTCACAGTTTCTGGAGTCTTTTCTAAAAAAAATTTTATTGGAGTATAGTTCATTTACAGTGTTGTTAGTTTCAGGGGTACAGCAAAGTGAACCAGTTTTAGTATACATATATCCACTTTTTTAAAGATTCCTATCCCATATAGGCCGTTACAGAGTATTGGATAGAGTTCACTGTGCTATGCAGCATATACTTGATATCTGTTTTATGTGTAGTAGTACATATATGTCGATCCCAATATCCCAGCTTCTCCTTCCTCCCACCCATTCCCTGGTTCTGAAATCTTTATATCAGGACTGCATTTCTTCTCTGTTTGCCCTGCTTCTGTCCTCATCACCAGATCTATTAAGTCAACTTTTGTAAGAGAAGCCTCACTGGGATTCAGCCCATTATATGCACTTACTGAGAACAATTTGTCCAGCAAAAACAAACAGCCAAAACAGAAGTTGTGTGTGTATGGGGGGCGGGGGGTGCAGGGTGAGGGTGGTGCTGAGGTGGTTGGTAAATAGAAGAAAAATCCCAGTAAGCTGCAGAAGGAGGGTTAACCATGGAAAAAGAAGAGAAGGAATATAGGATCTGAGGGGTCTGATTACTCAGAGCAGCGAGAGTATGTCTTCTTCCAGTCATCTTCTAAACACCCACTGGAGAAGGAATGGCTACCCACTCGATTACGCTTGCCGGGAGAATTCCATGGAGAGGAACCTGGTGGGCTACAGTCCTTGGGTCTCAAAGAGCTGGGCACAGCTGAGCAACTGACACTTTCACTTTCACTTCCAAACATCCACTGGCGTGTACAAAGGCAAGACCCTTTCCTGAAGCCACCTTCACGAGGGGTAGGGGGTGTCCTGAGACTCAAAGCAGGGTCCTGAGAGTTAAGGAGAAGTAGATCTGGGGAGAGGCATGAGGAAGGGGGAGGGGAGAGGAGAGTGTGGGAGGGAAAATTCAAATTACATGGGATTGTTTGGGGCCTGGGAGTAAACCAGACAGAAAGGGATCTGTGTACATTGATGGTGGCAAACTCCATTGTAAAGGAAGGCTGAGATGGGCAGTAAAGTGCCTTCAAAGCCAACCGATATGAATCTGAATTTTCTGGAGGCCCAGCAAAGTATTAGAAAGAGGACTCACAAAGTAAATGTAATCTGCCCATGTCATGATGGAATCTGAATTAGGGAGCAAAAAGACATTTAGAAGGTTGTTGGGCTAATGATCTGGACATGCTGTGTTTGTTGCCTGTACTTAGCAGTGACTGTAGAAATGGGAAAAAAAAAAAAAGAGATGGTTAACAGAGAGCATTCTGAAATAAGAATGGGAGAAGAAAATGGAAGAATCATGTGGAATCTAGAAAAATGATACAGATGAACCTATTTGCAGGGCAGGAATAGAGACTCAGATTTAGAAAACAGATGTGTGGACACAGTGGCGGGGAGCTGGGGGATGAATTGAACGAGTAGCACTGACATATATGCACTACCATGTATAAAGCAGATAGCTGGTGGGAAGCGAGGAGATCCAACCAGTCCATCCTAAAGGGGATCAGTCCTGGGTGTTCATTGGAAGGACTGATGTTGAAGCTGAAACTCCAATACTTTGGCCACCTGATGGCAAAGAGCTGACTCATTGGAAAAGACCCTGATGCTGGGAAAGATTGAAGGCAGGAGGAGAAGGGGATGACAGAGGATGAGATGGTTGGATGGCATCACCGACTCAATGGACATGGGTTTGGGTGGACTCCAGGAATTGGTGATGGACAGGGAGGCCTAGCGAGCTACGGTTCATGGGGTCGCAAAGAGTCAGACATGACTAAGCAACTGAACTGAACTGAAGTGGGAAGCTGCTATATGGCTCAGGAAGCTCAGCTTGGTGCTCTGTGATGACCTAGATGGGTGGGATGGAGGTGGGGTGGGATGTAGGGCCAAGAGGGAGAAGATACATGTGTACACATAACTGGTTCACTTTGTAGTACAGCAGAAATTAGCACAACATTGTACAATTAAAATAAAATACTCAAATTATAATTAAAAAAATAATTACTCAAATTATTAAAAAAATAATAACTCAAATATTTTAAGAACAGGTGATTGAGAAAATGAAACCATTGATATTTTCCCCAGAACTCCCAGTCTCCATGCTTCCTTGAATATCTAGTCCACCCAGTTTCCAAATCCAGCCTTAGGTCAACTTTATGTCAATCCTTATCGATTTCTGTTTTCTTCTCTCTTCAGCATCATGACTGTGGACACAGATTCCTCTCGCCTGTCCCCACTCCCCCCTGCCCCATAACCAATGCTGTAGCCCCAGTGAGGCTCCTCTTATCCTTCACACATACCATGAACTTGTCCACTGTCATACAGTTCCTTTCTCTCTCCCCTCATTGTCATTCCTGGCAAATTACAGTTCATCTTTCTGCAGACACCTCACAAATCGCCTCCTCTGCAAAAATGTCACTAATTTCTCAGTCATTCCTTCCTGCATATTCTAGGAGCACTTTGTAACTACCCATATATGGTACCTAACAAGGTACATTTGTATCATATGTTTCTGTGTCAATTTTCTGCTGCATTTAATAGTTGTTTTAAAATTTTTAACCATTTTTCACTGAAGTATAATTAATTCACAATCTCATGTTAGTTTCCAGTGTACAGCAAAGTGATTTGGTTGTATGTATATATATTCTTTTTCAAATTATTTTCCATTATAGGTTATTACAAGAGATTGAATATAGTTCCCTGTGCTATTCAATAATTTTAGAAGAGTGGGAACCAATATTTATTTGTCTTTGTATCTACAAGCCTAATGTAGAGGCTAGAATATACTAAATTCTAAAATAAATGTTTTATTTCAGCTTCTGAGACATTGAACCTGGAACTTGGTTTATGGGCAGTATATTAATCATGATTTAAAAACTCAAAACCACCTCTCCCACAGGTACAAAGCAGTCACAGACGCATGTTCTCTTCAACCAGATATCGACTTACTACCATTTGGAGACCAAACTGAAATTGGAGAGAGGGTGAGCTATGTGTAGTGTAATTACACAATGAACACAAATCCAGAAAAGTCTTCCAGTTATCTTTAACCTTTAATGGAAAATAAAAAAATCGGAGAGCACCAGAATTGTGTTTTCCTAGTGACAAGTTCTAGAAACAGAAGCACAGGAATTCTTGATGCCACTCTCTTAAGGATGTGTTGAGTAACTAGCATGAACTTCACATTTTGCTAGCCACTCAGGAATTCTCAAGGGAAAGGAACAGTCCCTGCCTTTGATCAAATGTATTTTTACTTAACTTGGAGTTTACTTTAAATTGATTTGGAAACCGAGATTGCTTCCGACAACTTTTTCCACTCTTGTCAACATCCATTTATTCTTGTTAAAGTGTTCTTTTTGCTTTGTATAAACAGCTTTTACATTGGCGTCATACTGTTCCAACTAGCCGAAAAATATTTATATCTGTATATAATCTTTATAACAATGTTGGCTAAAGTGTTTCACTCTTATGGGGTCAAGTACTAAGCAAAAGACTATATATATATATATATATATATATGTGCATTATTTGCTTTTACAAATCTGTTACATAGGTGTTTTGTTATCTGCGTATTGTAGCTGAGAAAACCAGGGCAGAGAAAGGTTAAAGAACTTGCCTGGTTAGAGTCACTGGGACAGTTGAGATTGGTCTGACTCTGTCGTCTGTGTTATTCATTGCTGTTTTTTATTGCAGCATGGTATTGTGTTTAAGAACATGACCTGAACTTCTCTAAGCCTTAGTTTCCATGTGGAGAGCAATACATTGAAATTGCTATGATAAGAGAAAGAAAGAATGGAAAGCCATACACAGTAGCCTGACACATTTTACTAAAGTGTTAGTTGCTCAGTCATGTCCGACTCCTTGCAACTCCATGGACTATAGCTCATCTGTGCAAGGAATTCTCCAGACAAGAATACTGGAGTGGGTAGCCATTGCCTTCTCCAGGGGATCTTCCTGACCCAGGATTGAACCCAGGGCTCCCACACTGCAGGCAGATTCTTTACCATCTGAGCCACCAGGGGAGCTCATCACATACTAAGTGCTCAGTAAATAGTAGTTTTTCACATTTGTATAATTAGCACTTGATTATAAAAGCATACTGCTGTATAGTTCACTTGAACACAACTTGTAATATTGAATTTAAGAGACATGTTAACTGTTAAGCATACTACAGACACAATTCATGAAACTAGAAACAATTTCGAGATTATTTCCAGTCTTCAGCACTCATTTTGGTTTTTCGTTATTAATATTTTTGTATAGTGGAGCCCTCTATTAGAGTGAAAAGATTAATATTATCAGTCAAAGATGATCTTAATATAATTAAGTGTTGACCACTAGAAAGCTCGCATTTTGTCTTCCCAGTGTTATCACTGTTTAATTAATAAACTACCATTAATTTAAGATTTTTAAAGAGAAGTTTGTATTTTTAGGGAATTTTTTTTTAACCAGCAGATTATTTACTACTGTAAATGGTGAATGTTAATGGGTATTTCTTCTCTAGGGCATCAACCTGAGTGGAGGTCAGAGGCAAAGAATCTGTGTGGCCCGAGCCCTCTATCAAAATACCAACATTGTCTTCTTGGTAAGAATATATGGTCTTCCCTTTCTACTTCATCTTTCCCTCTGGACAAATGCATCTTTAAGGAGATAAGTAACTCAAGGAAAGATGGCTTAACTTGTGAAATCACAGAGAATTAAGGCAAAACAAATCCTCAGAGTAAAAATCAGGTCAACATGTAAGATGAGCATGGAGGACCCCAAGGGACTGAGGTTCCCAAATAATTGCTTATATGCATTCTTAAACCATGAGGATCATTGATGAAAGGGTGTGGATGGTGCTGGATGAACTGGACAGGATTATAGATCTTCTTATTTATATTTTCTGGTAGAAAGAAGGGCTGGAATATATACTCTTGGTGGGCCTAAGGGTTAGTAAGGATGAAACTGAGACTGTGGTTAAGATTTATCTGTAAAGTTTCCTGAAATTATTCTTAGAAATCTTGATACCAGCCTAGATCTACTAAATCATAATCTGTGAAGGCAGAGTCTAGAATCTGTATCTTAAAAAAGCTCTGTAGATGATTTTCTAGTATATTCTGGGTTGATAACCTATGGATATAGAAATAAAAGTGGATGATTATATTGACAATGAATTTGCTCTAGTTTTATTCCTCCAGCAGATTGTAGCAAAAATCACTTAGCATACAATTAGACAGTGCCTAAAGATCAGCAGGTTATATAAATCCATCCTTCCCCTGCCTTCTCCTTCTGTGCATGTGTTAACCATGTATAAATCTGGTTCTCAGACCTTTAAACTTTTAACTCCATCTAATGAACATCTTCAGAAAGTAGCTTGATTTTAGAGTTTTCCATCCCAAAATTTTGGATCCTTTACAGGATATGAAAGTAGAAAATGAAAGTATTACTGGAAATGCACTTCAGGTTAATGTCTGTAAGAATTCCTGCCCCCATGTTTTCCAGAAAACAGCACTATAAAAGACATAGCAGGATCTAGCAGTAACCTGTTAAAACTCAACGTTAAAAAGACTAAGATTGTAACATTCGGTCCTATCACTTCATGGCAAATAGATGGGGAAACAATGGAAACGGGCAGATTTTATTTTCTTGGGCTCTAAAAATCACTGTGAATGGTGACTGCATCCATGAAATTAAAAGACGCTTGCTCCTTGGGAAAAAAAAGCTATGATAAACCTAGACATCATGTTAAAAAGTAGAGACATTTCTTTGCCAACAAAGGTCTGTCTAGTCAGAGATACGGTTTTCCCAGTGGTCATGTATGGATGTGAGAGCTGGACTATAAAGAAGGATGAGTGCCGAAGAAGTGATGCTTTTGAACTGTGGTGTCGTGAGAGTCCCTTGGACTGCAAGGAGATCCAACCAGTCCAGCCTGAAGGAAATCAACTCTGAATATCCATTGGAAGGACTGATGCTGAAGCTGAAGCTCCAATACTTTGGCCACCTGATGCAAAGAGCCAACTCACTGGAAAAAACCTTGATGCTGGGAAAGATTGAAGGCAGGAGGAGGAGGGGACAACAGAGGATGGGATGGCTGGATGGCATCATTGACTCAATGGACATGAGTTTGAGCAAGCTCTGGGAGATAGTGAAGGACAGGGAAGCCTGGTGTGCTGCAGTCCATGGGGTTGCAAAGAATTGAACACAACTTAGTAACTGGACAGCAACAACAACCAAAATGTGACAAAATGTGAGCACATGTTGGAGAAATGGCACAATAGACTTGCTGGACACAGGGTTGCAAACTTTCAAACGTTCAATTTGAAAAAAAAATGCAATTTCTGTGAATCACAATAAAATGAGATATGCCTGTATCTGCAAAGTTCCATCTACCATTCAGATATCATTGTCACAGGTTCTGGGAGGAAGAACGTGGGCATCTTTGGGGACCATTATTCTGCATGCCTCAGATAGCTCTTATTATTGGAAAGTTATTTGGGGATTAAAATCTGCTTCTGTATATTTTCCATTAATTGGCTTCCATTCTGCTTCTGCAACAGCAAATATATTTCTTTTGTATGGCCATACTCAATATTTTAATGTTATTGTCATAACTTGCCATAATTTACTTTTCTCTAGGCTGAGAAAGCTTAATATTTTTCATTCTCAACAGTAATGTTATCTTTATAACTTTTCTTAATTCTGGATATAATAGTGTTTGTTAGGGTCCCTTTGAAAAAACGTGTTCTAGATGCATTCTGATCAACTCAGATAGTCCTAAAACTAATGGAGCTTATGATTTAAATATTATGCTTTCTTCATAGCAGCCTAAAATTGAATAATGTTTTAGCAGCAACAGAATACTGTTGATCAGTCAGTTCAGTTCAGTCGCTCAGTCGTGTCCGACTCTTTGCAAGCCCATGGACTGCAGCACGCCAGGCCTCCCTGTCAATCACCAACTCGTGGAGTTTACTCAGACTCATGTCTTTGAATAATTTCTCCTAGGTAAAAATATTTCACCCTTCGATTGTTTAAAAATTCACAGAGCACTTTCAATTGCAGTGTCATCTCATTTGATTCTTACGACTGTGCTGCTAGGGTAGATGGTTTCGCCATGGAAAGAGAGGAAACTTATACATAGGTGGAATGCCTTACCCGAGAACTAATGGCTAGTAAGTGATTGAGTATGAGCTACAACTTCATATCTTTTGAGTACTTTTCCTTTTTTTTCTGTTTTTGTGATCAGCTGTTTCTTTTTTTTTTTAATTATTACTCTCAAGTTACTGTGTTGTCTTTTGCTTTCTTTCTGTCTCCCTTCCCCCTTTCCTTCCTACCTCCCTCCTCCTCTCCCTTCCTTCCTTTCCGTCCATCAATGTTTGAGTGTCATCAGAGTCATCTTCTATGCTGGGTACCAAGGAAACAAAGGAGAAAGACATTATTGTTATCTTTAAAGATCTCACATGTACAAATAATTAGTTGAAAGGCTTTATATTTTGCTGTAAACTCTAATTAAACTTTACCAAATTAGGCTTTACATCTCTATACTTTTTTTCCATGGTGGCTGCAACAATTCATATTTCCAACTACAATGCAAAAATTCCTTTTTCTCCACATTCTCACCAACATTAGTTATTTCTTGTCTTTTTGATAATAGCCAATATAACAGGTATGAAGTGATATCATTGTGGTTTTGATTTGTATTTCCCACATAATTAATAATATTAATGATAATTAATGATGTTGAGTACTATTTATGTTCCTTTTGGCCATTTTTTTTCACTTTTTTGGGAAAAATATCTATTCAGATCCTTTGACCATTTTTTAATTGGATTGTTTGGATATTTTGTTATTGATTTGTATGAGGTTTTTATATTTTGGGGGCATTAACTACTTATAAGATACATGATTTACAAACATTTCATCGCATTCCATAAGTTGCCCTTTCATTTTGTTGATGATTTTCTTAATGTACAGAAATGTTTTAGTTTGATGTAGTTCTATTTATTTTTGCTTTTGTTGCCTTTGTTTTTGGTATTAAAATTTTAAAAACATTGCCAAGACCAACGTCAAAGAGCTTATCCACTGTGTTTTCTTCTAAGAGTTTTATGGTTTCAGGTCTTAGATTCATGTCTTTAATCCACTTGAGTTCATTTTTGTGTATGATGTAAAATAGTGGCCCAGGGTTTGTTTTGGGGTTTTTTTTTTTTTTGCATACTGCTGTCTACTTTCCCCAACAGCATTTATTGAAGAGACTACTCTTTCCACATTGTATCTGTACATAGAGACAGTTTAACTTCTTCCTTTCCTATTTGGATGCCATTTCTTTTTCTTGACTAATTGATCTGACATAGTACTTCCAGTGTATGTGTGCCCAGTCACTCAGTTCATTTCAGTTCAGTTCAGTCTCTTAGTCGTGTCCGACTCTTTGTGACTCCATGCACTGCAGCACGCCAGGCTTCTCTGTCCATCACCAGCTCCCAAAGCGTGCTCAAACTCATGTCCATCGAGTCAGTGGTGTCATCCAGCCATCTCATCCTCTGTCGTTCCCTTCTCCTCCTACCTTCGCTCTTTCCCAGCATCAGGGTCTTTTCAAATGAGTCAGTTCTTCACATCAGGGGGCCAAAGTATTGGAGTTTCAGCTTCAACATCAGTCCTTCCAATAAATATTCAGGACTGATTTCCTTTACAATGGACTGGTTGGATCTCCTTGCAGTCCAGGGGACTCTCAAGAGTCTTCTCCAACACCACAGTTCAAAAGCATCATTTCTTCGGTGCTCAGCTTTCTCTATGGATGTCCGACTCTCACATCCATATATGATTACTGGAAAAACCATAGCTTTGACTAGATGGACCTTTGTTGGCAAAGTAATGTCTCTTTTTAATATGCTGTCTAGGTTGGTTATAGCTTTTCTTCCAAAGAGCAAGTGTCTTTTGATTTCATGACTTCAGTCACCATCTGCAGTGATTTTGGAGCCCAAAAAATAAAGTTTGTCACTGTTTCCATTGTTTCCCCATCTATTTGCCATGAAGTGATGGGACCAGATGCCATGATCTTAGTTTTCTGAATGTTGAGTTTTAAGCCAACTTTTTCACTCTCCTCTTTCACTTTCATCAAGAGACTCTTTAGTTCTTCACTTTCTGCTGTAAGTGTGGTGTCATCTGCATATCTGAGGTTATTGATATTTCTCCCGGCAATCTTGATTCCAGTTTGTGCTTCATCCAGCCTGGCATTTCTCATGATGTACTCTGCACATAAGTTAAATAAGCATGGTGACAGTATACAAACTTGACATACTCCTTTCCCTATATGAAACCAATCTGTTGTTCCATGTTCAGTTCTAACTGTTGTTTCTTGACCTGCACACAGATTTCTCAAGAGGCGGGTAAGGCAGTCTGGTATTCCCATCTCTTTATGAATTTTCCACAGTTTGTTGTGATCCAGTCACTCAGTGGTGTCCAATTCTTTGGACCCTGTGGACTATAGCCCACCAGGCTCCTTTGTCCATGGGATTTCCTGGGCAAGAATACTGTAGTGGGTTGCCATTTCTTCCTCCAGGGGGTCTTCCTGACCCAGAAATCAAACCCACATCTCCTGCACTGCACGGCAGGCAGATTCTTTATCACTGAGCCACCTGGTAAGCCCCATAGTATTAAACTTTCAGTATTGTGTTGAATAAAAGTGGTGAGACTGGGTATCCTTGTCTTATTCCTGATGCTACGGGGAAAACTTTCAACTTTTCATGACCGAGTGTGGTGTTAGCTGTGGGCTTGTCATATGTGATCTTTATTATGTTGAGGTATGTTTTCTTTATACCCATTCTATTCAAAGTTTTTATCATGATTGAATGTTGAATTTGGCCAATGTTTTTTGTGCTTCTATTGAGTTGATCATATGATTTTTATCCTTTATTATTGTGGTTATCATATTGATTGATTTGCAGATATTGAACCATCCTTACATCCCTAGAATAAATCCAACTTATTCATGGTGTATGAATCTTTTAATGACTGTTGAATATGGCTTGTTAAGATTTCGTCAATGATGTTTGCATCTGTGTTCATCAGAAACACTGGTCTGTAATTTTCTTTGTGTGTGTGTCTGTGTCTTTGGTATCAGGGAATCATCGGTTTTAATATCAGGGTAATGCTAGCTTTGTAAAATGTTTGGAAGTATACTTTCCTCTTCTATTGTTTGAAAAAGTTTGAGAAGGATTGGTTTAAATCCCAGTTTAAATGTTTAATTGAATTCACCAGTGAAACCATCTGGTTCTGGGCTTTTATTTGTTGGGGTGTTTTTGATTACTAATTCAATCTCCTTACCAGTAGTTGGTCTATTCAGATTTTCTATTTTTTCATGATTCAGTTTTTGTAGATTTTTTTTTTCTAGGAATTTATCCATGTCTTTTAGGTGTCCAGTTTGTTGGTGTTCATCATAGTCTCATGAGACTTTGCATTTGTGTGGTCACAATTGTAATGTTGCCCCTTTCATATATAGTTTTATTTGAATCCTCCCACTTTCTTTGGTGAGTCTTATTAGTGAAAGTGGAAGTGTTAATTGCTCAGTTGTGTCTGACTCTTTGTGACCCCTTGGACTGTAGCCTTCTAGGCTCCTCTTTCCATGGAATTCTCCAGGCAAGAATACTGGAGTGGGTTGCCATTCCCTTCTCCAGGGAATCTTCCCAACCCAGGGATTGAGCCCGGGTCTCCTGCTTTGCAGGCAGATTCTTTACCATCTGAACCACCCTGTATCTAAAGAGTCTTGCTAAGGGCTTGTATATTTTATTTATTTAGTTTCACCAATCTTTCCTATTGTCTCTTTAGTTTGTATTTTATATATTTCTATTCTGGTCTTTGTTATTTCCTTCCTTCCATGAACTATGGGCTTAATTTGTTCTTTGTTTTTCTAGTTTCTTGAGATGTAAAGTTAGGTTGTTTATTGAGGTCTTTCTTTTTTCCTAATGTAGGAATTTATTGCTATAAAATTCTCTTAGAACCGGTTTTGCTGCATCCCAAAAGTTTTGATGCTCTGTGTCTCATTTTCATTTGTTTCAAGATATTACTTGATTTCCTCTTTCAGTGTCTCCATTGGTTGTTCAGGAGCATCTTGTTTTATCTCCATGTATTTGTGAATTTTCCAGAGGTGGGGTTTATGATGAGAATGTGTCTCAACCTTTCCTACCTGTTTTGATGTATTTTTCTGCCACCTAAAATGTAGAAATCACTCCATTTCTGGATCTCTTCCAAAGGGAATTGCTCCGTGTGCAGCTGTATATCAATGTGTCCATGGCAGGAGGGAGATTCAGGAGCCTCCTGTGTTGTCATATTGGTCCAGAGTCTGAGCCTGTTTTTATTCGTGTCTAAAGTCGTGTCTAAAGTTGAATCGATATCAACTTTAACTACTATCATATTCTTTGTTTTGGTTTATTATTACAGGTTGTAAAGTAATGTTGGCTTTCGAACCACTCCAAATATTGTTATTTACTTTTAACATTATTTTTAAGGTGAAAGAGAAAATCGAATCTTCATTTTTAATTTAGTAACTTTTTGTCATTTAAAGCTATTCAGAGTCTGTTTATTATAAAGTGAATTTTGTGGGATAATTTGCCTTTAGTTATTTGTATTTCTGTTTTCTGGAGGAATTTCATTACAAAGAAAATATGAAAATTTTTCATTATCTCTCCATTTTACTTGTTGTAGGATGATCCATTTTCTGCCTTGGACATTCACTTGAGTGATCACCTAATGCAGGAAGGAATTTTGAAATTTCTCCAAGATGACAAGAGGACACTTGTTCTTGTGACTCACAAATTACAATATCTAACACATGCTGACTGGGTAAGAGTTTAAAAGAAATTAAAAGAATTTTTATACTACAGCTATATAAATGCTTCCTGAGATAAATATAATTCACTTATGGATTTTGTTGTAATTCTAATATATGTTTTCCTTAGATCATAGCCATGAAAGATGGGAGTGTTCTAAGAGAAGGGACTTTGAAGGATATTCAGACCAAAGATGTAGAGCTGTATGAACATTGGAAAACACTAATGAATCGGCAGGATCAAGAACTAGAAAAGGTAATTGCTCAGATTTAGAAGAGCTCAGAGTTCAGTTAAGAAGAGTCAGAAGTACAGTGCAAAATTACTAAAAATACTTTTAAAGAAGTATTACATTTAATTTTTGATTATATAATAATCTCATCTGAAAATGAAATAATTGTATATTTATATACCATTAATCGATAAACTACTTTGAAACTGAGAAAATTCTAATGATATCTTTTACTATCAGGCCTTTAGAAGAGTTTTATTTGAATTGGAGGCATATTATAATTATATGTGTGTTTAAAACAATCATATATGCATTTAAAACTTGCTCAAGCATGCTCTTTCCTCATTTTATCTTATTTTCCCTTATGTATGTCTTATTTTACTCACCTTCAATATGAGTTTTTCATTCGTCACTTACAAATGGAGGGTTGTGGGCAAAACAAAATCTGAGATGATTTTGAAAGAAAGAAGATCTGTTAGCTATGGGTATGGTGCAAAGTATGCCTGAGATACAGTTGGGAGAGATGAAGGAAGGTAATCAGAAAGAAATTACAATGAAATTTTATAGATAGTTTTTAAAGTCCATAAAACCTTTTTTACATGATCTCTTTTACTTCTCACAAAATAAGCAAAAAATAGGAGAAATAAGCAAAGAAAATATGATCTCACTTTTACCGGTGGGAAAATTGAAGCTCAGAGAGGCTAAGTAACTTGCCTAAACTTGTACAGGATATATAATATTTTGTACCAACTGGATTTAAACCCAGGTTCATACCAATGTAATGTATTTATATAATGTAAATATAATATTGAATGAAATTGTAACAGAGTTGAAAACGAATTGAGTATGATGAAAGAAAAACCACTCATGGTTGAGAGGTAAATTGTAAATTTAATTAGTAAATTTTCAAAATGTTTTCTCTTGAGTTGTGGTACTAGAAAAGGTCCAGAATTCAATAGTCCTGGTCAGGAATGAGCATTATAAAATGAAAATGTTTATATCAGCAAATTTCTGAAAATGTCAAGAAGTTAAAATGTATTATTTCTTAAAGGAAAAAGAAGTCTTGTTTCAATAGCAGAAGAAAGATAAAAAGTCAGACAAACCATCGGATTGCTCTGTCTTCTGTGAGCTTGCCAAAGATATCAAAGGCCAATTACAAACGTCTCAAAATAAGGAAGAAAAGCCGTATATAAACGTCTTAGTAGAGTAGGACAAATCATAGAACCTTTGAAAGGAGGATATCCATCAAAACATTACAGTGTACAATTGGCAAGAGCTCACTTAGAAATTATGCAGTGATATGCTTGATAATAAACTTACTGGGATGACTCCAAATGACATTTTTTTCAGTGGTCTAGGTGCCAGGGACAAAAGAATATGATGTAAGCTTAAGGAGTGGACCATTTATGGTTTACTTTGAAAAGAAAATCTGGAAAAACCGCAAGAGAGAAAGGGGGGTGCTTTTGGCTTGATTTTGAAGTAATACTGACTACTGAGCATGCCAGGAAGAAAGTCTGTTACATTGTATTTAGAAATGAAGTGATCACTCAAGAAACCATAGCTCTATAACTAAAGACACATCACAGGGTTATAGGGCTCCCGTGGTGGCTCAGACAGTGAAGGATCTGCCTGCAATGTGGGAGACCAGGGTTTGATCCCTGGGAGAAGGGAATGGCTACCCACAACAGGGGAGCAAGGGCTACTGGCATCTAGCGGGTAGAGGACAGGGATGCTGTTAAACATACTACAATGTACAGAACAGCTCCCACAACAAAGGATTTTCTGACCCAAAATGTCAATGGTGCCAAGGTTGAGAAAAGCTGGCTTAGCACCAGAGCAGATCAAGCAAGTGGAGAAGGAAGTGAAACTAAAGGACTCACAAAACATCCCATCTTTGGTCTTTAGACAGATCAGTCAGTTTAAAGGTTCAGGAACAATGGGAAAGTATGCTAAAGAGGATAGTAATGACAGCTTTGAGAAGAAGTTGATAACACATTTAGCTGGTTTAAATGTTAAAAATTCTGCCTTGGATGGCATCACCCATTATCTTCATAATATTATTAAGCAAAATAAAGTAGCATCTTTGGATGTTTCTTCCCTCAGCCTTCAACCCTCACTTTGATTCAACTTTTCCCAGGCATTCAATAAATATGCATTTAATTGTTGTTGTTATTTAGTCGCTAAGTTGTGTCTGATTCTTTTGCGAGCCCATGGACTGTAGCTTGCCAGGCTCCTCTGTCCATGGGGTTCTCCAGGCAAGAATACTGGAGTGAGTTGCCATTTCCTTCTCCAGGGGATCTTCTCCACCCAGGGATCAAACCCACGTTTCCTGCTTGGCAGGCAGCTTGCTTACCACTCAGCCACCTGGGAATCTTTATGTATTAGATAAGTGAAACTAAATTTGTATTTACTTAATCCATATGTCAAAACAATTTAAAATATTTAATCTCAGATGAGCTTAGTGTGAGCATTTAACTCATAAGGAAAATGACTAAAGATTAAAGTCCCCAAGATGATAACTCTTTTGCTCACATAGATTGGCAACTTCTGTTTATTTCATTTCATTACACTATCCAAAAATATCAGTTCTTTTTTAATTTTGTTTACTCTCAAAAAATAGTTTACAGTGTACAAATATGGCTTTTCATATCATTAGGCACAATTAAAAGCTAATGTGAAATTATCTCTGAAAAATACTATTCAAAAGACACTTTTGCTTCTACTTTTTTTTAAAAAGCAAGAACTTGGAAGCAACAGAGCTTTCTAGAATAGCAAGTCTCCTAAATCACACACTGTATGAGGCCAAACAAACAAAAACAAAACAGGACCACTATCTAGAGACTGATTATCAAAGAATTATTGGTTTATCCCTGTAACAAACAGATTTTTTTTAATATATTAGCATGTACAGGAAGCCCTTAAATTACTGTCAATTCCAGAAGTCAGTGGGTCAGTTATTTGGAACTCAGAATGCATTTCCCCACAGAAACAGAGATACGGGTGGTTTCCCAGACTGTCCTGCGGAAGCTGATTTAACCCACAGTGTAACTGAACTGATACTAGTCCAGTTCCAAAGCCAAGAGGGCAGAATGTTGGAGGCAGAAAACTGGAGAAAACAAAACGCTTTTCCCTTTCTTAGCATAGGATGAGTCTGGAGCAACCCTTAAAATTTTGCAGTTTGTGTTTGATGTTTTCCCTTCTCTCCATTCCCATTTACTTCAAAAACCCGCCTTCCTCTTGTTTCTATTGAAGTCTCTTTCATTCATCCCCTGAATGAGATCCTCAGTCAGAACCTCATCTTGATTTGACAATTCATAATAGTGTATGACTGATAGTGCTTTAACCAATCCAGAACTACATGCGGTTTTAAAAGAAGATGTTTGTTAACACTGATGAATCATTAGAAAAATTCGATCAGTTCAGTTCAGTTCAGTCCCTCAATTGTGTCCGACTCTTTTAGACCCCATGGACTGCGGCACGCCAGGCCTCCCTGTCCATCACCAACTCCCGGAGTTTACCCAAACTCATGTCCACTGAGTCGGTGATGCCATCCAATCATCTCATCCTCTGTTGTCCCCTTCTCCTCCTGCCTTCAATCTTTCCCAGCATCAGGGTCTTTTCCATTGAGTCAACTCTTTGCATGAGGTGGCTGAAGAATTGGAGTTTCAGCTTCAGCATCAGTTCCTCCAATGAATATTCAAGACTGATTTCCTTTAGGATGGACTGGTTGGATCTGCTTGCAGTCCAAGGGGCTCTCAAGAGTCATCTCCAACACCACAGTTCAAAAGCATCAATTCTTCGGCGCTTAGCTTTCTTTACAGTCCAACTCTCACATCCATACATGACTACTGGAAAAATCATAGCTTTGACTAAATGGACCTTTGTTGGCAAAGTAAGGTTTCCACTTTTTAATATGCTGCCTAGTTGGTCATAACTTTTCTTTTAAGGAGAAAGCGTCTTTTAATTTCATGGCTGCAGTCACCATCTGCAGTGATTTTGGAGCCCAGAAAATAAAGTCTGTCACTGTTTCCATTGTTTCCCCATCTATTTGCCATAAAGTGATGGGACCGGATGCCATGATCTTAGTTTTCTGAATGTTGAGCTTGAAGCCAACTTTTTCACTCTCCTCTTTCACTTTCATCAAGAGGCTCTTTAGCTACTTTTCAATTTCTGCCATATGGATGGTGTCATCTGCATTTCTGAGGTTATTGATATCTCTCCCAGCAATGTTGATTCCAGCTTGTGCTTCTTCCAGTCCAGCGTTTCTCATGATGTACTCTGCATAGAAGTTAAATAAGCAGGGTGACCATATACAGCCTTGACGTACTCCTTTTCCTACTTGGAACCAGTCTGTTGTTCCACGTCCAGTTCTAACTATTGCTTCCTGACCTGCATACAGGTTTCTCAGGAGACAGGTAAGGTGGTCTGGTATTCCCATCTCTTTCAGAATTTCACAGTTTGTTGTGATCTACACAGTCAAAGGCTTTGGCATAGTCAATAAAGCAAAAGTAGATGTTTTTCTGGAACTTTCTTGCTTTTTCGATGATCCAGTGGATGTTGGCAATTTGATCTCTGGTTCCTCTGCCTTTTCTAAATCCAGCTTGAACGTCTGGAAGTTCATGATTCACATACTGATGAAGTTGGCTTGGAGAATTGGAGAATTTTGAGCATTACTTTGCTAGCGTGTGAGATGAGTGCAACTGTGCAGTACTTTGAGCATTCTTTGGGATTGCCTTTCTTTGAGACTGGAATGAAAACTGACCTTTTCCAGTCCTGTGGCCACTGCTGAGTTTTCCAAATTTGCTGACATATTGAGTGCAGCACTTTCACAACGTCAGCTTTTAGGATTTGAAATAGCTCAACTGAATTCCATCACCTTCACTAGCTTTGTTTATAGTGATGCTTCCTAAGGCCCACTTGACTTCGCATTCCAGATGTCTGCCTCTAGGTGAATGATTACACAACTGTCATTATCTGGGTCATGAAGATCTTTTTTGTATAGTTCTTCTGTGTATTCTTGCCAGCTCTTCTTAATATCTTCTGCTTCTGTTAGGTCCATACCGTTTCTGTCCTTTAATGTGCCCATCTTTGCATGAAATGTTTTCTCGGTACCTCTTGAAGAGATCTCTAGTCTTTCCCATTCTATTGTTTTCCTCTATTTCTTTGCATTGATCGCTGAGGAAAGCTTTCTTATCTCTCCTTGCTATTCTTTAGTTAGTTAGTTAGGTAGCTCAGTTGTGTCCGACTCTTTGCGACCCCGTGGATGGTAGCCCACCAGGCTCTTCTGTCCATGGGATTCTCCAGGCAAGAATACTGGAGTGGGTTGCCATTTTCTTCTCCAGGGGATCTTCCTGACCCAGGGATCGAACCCGGGTCTCCCGCATTGCAGGCAGACGCTTTAACCTCTGAGCCACCAGGGAAGCCCTGCTATTCTTTAGAACTTTGTATTTAGATGGATATATTTTTCCTTTTCTCCTTTGCCTTTAGCTTCTCTTCTTTTCTAAGCTATTTATAAGACCTCCTCAGACACCCATTTTGCCTTTTTGCATTTCTTTTTCTTGGGGATGGTCTTGATCCCTGCCTCCTATGCAACATCACGAACCTCCATCCATAATTCATCAGGCACTCTGTCTATCAGATCTAATCCCTTGAATCTGTTTCTCACTTCCACTGTATAATTGTAAGGGATTTGATTTAGGTCATACCTGAATGGTCTAGTGGTTTTCCCTACATTCTTCAATTTAAGTCTGAATTTGGCAATAAGGAGTTCATGATCTGAGTCACAGTCAGCCCCCCAGATTTGTTTTTGCTGACTGTATAGAGCTTCTCCATCTTTGGCTGCAAAGAATATAATCAAACTTATTTCATTGCTGACCATCTAGTGATAACCATATGTAGAGTCTGCTCTTGTGTGTTGGAAGAGGGTGTTTACTATGACCAGTGCATTCTCTTGGCAAAACTGTTATTAGCCTTTGCCCTGCTTCATTCTGTACTCCAAGGCCAGATTTGCCTGTGTTTGTTGACTTCCTACTTTTACATTCCAGTCCTCTATAATGAAAAGGACATCTTTTTTGGGTGTCAGTTCTAGAAGGTCTTGTAGGTCTTCATAGAAGCATTTAACTTCAGCTTCTTCAGCATTACTGGTCGGGGCATAGACTTGGATTACTGTGATATTGAATGGTTTGCCTTGGAAATGAACAGAGATCATTCTGTTGTTTTTGAGATTGCATCCAAGTACTGCATTTTGGACTCTTTTGTTGACTATGATGGCTCTTCTGTTTCTTCTAAGGGATTCTTGCCAACAGTAGTAGATATAATGGTCATCTGAGTTAAATTCACCCATTCTAATCCATTTTAGTTCACTGATTCCTAAAATGTTGACGTTCACTCTTGCCACTTCCAACTCTTTGACCACTTCCAATTTGCCTTGATTCATGGAACTAACATTCCAGATTCCTATGCAATATTGCTCTTTACAGCGTCGGACCTTGCTTCTATCACCATTCATATCCACAACTGGGTATTGTTTTTGCTTTGTCTCCATCTCTTCATTCTTTCTGGAGTTATTTTTCCACTGATCTCCAGTAGCATATTGGGCACCTACAGATCTGGGGAGTTCATCTTTCAGTGTCCTATCTTTTTGCCTTTTCATACTATCCATGGGGTTCTCAAGGCAGGAATACTGAAGCGGTTTGCCATTCCCTTCTCCAGTGGACTATGTTTTGTCCACAGAAAAATTATAAGAGTATATGAAGATGATATAAAAACAAAACAAGGACCAATGGTGGGACCAGGTTTAATGCTAGAAGAGGTGTCCCCCTGCCCCTGGGGTCAGCTCCATCACATTGTTACTACTTTTCCTGGCTTCTTACTGCCTTTTGCCCCGAGCTCTGATACATTCCCCAAAGGCCTCAAATGTTACTTCACACCTTCTCCTATGATAGTAGTTGTCCATATGTCTGCAGTTGTCCATCCATCTTGAGCAGAGAGCTCCAGACCCAGAAAGGTAACTAACGGTTGGTATTTGGTACATGTGGGTCATTGACTGTAAGTAGAATTTGCCTGTGGCTATGAGCTCCTTTCATGACAGCACCATGTTTCCTGTAGGATATGGAAGCTGACCAAACAACTTTAGAGAGGAAAACACTCCGAAGAGCCATGTATTCAAGAGAGGCCAAAGCCCAACTGGAGGATGAAGACGAAGGTAGATCTTTTAAAAAAAAAACATTCCAATGGGTAATAGGATATGGAAGTCCTCTTGGCAATTGATGTGTGTCTATCTCAGTGCAGAATGACTAGCCACTTTGCAGAGCAGTGACGGCAAAGTCAAATACATGAAACTGAAAATGGACAGAAGGGGAGTGAAATCAATAGATGTATATAGATGTATGTAAACAGGTGTATGCTGTCAAATGAGGCATCTTGAGGGGTTCCCCAATGTGTATGAGTGTTCTTGTGTTGTGTGTGTGAGAACTGACAGGACAATGGGTCTAGACCCTTGTTCAGATAAACTGGTAAGGTCTAGTATAATAAAATGTCAGCCCTTGGGAAATAAACAATACATGGGAAATACAGTGAAAATACTGCTTTGAAAGATCTATACTTGAGTCTGTAAATTTTTATGGGGTTCTCTTGGTAAATAGCAATGAAGAATAAGAGAATTAGAAAGCTGTTTGTTGTGTTTCAATTTTCTGGATCTAATAAAATATAGTGGGTGAAAAAGGTTTACTGGAAATTTGAGGAATAAAATGAAATAGTTACATTGCTTTGACATTTGTTGCCAAGACGTTTGTAAGATAAACCATAAAGTCCATAGAGTAAGTGTACTGTACTTCAGTCTTCCTACATGGATTTTGCCTAGGACCACATTTCCATGGGCCAGTTAAGAGAAGATTATCATTTCGAGCAGAAGGACACCAAAATGGGCCATCTTTACATTTCAGATGATAATTATTCTGTGTTTCAGTAAATACTCATTGAGTAAACAAATGAATGAATGAATGAATTTTTCACTCCCATTTCTTAGATTTTAAAATATTTTAAAAAGAATATTTGGGGACTTCCCTGGTGGTCCAGTAGTTAGTGTTTTCACTGCTGTGGCCCCAGGTTCAGTCTCTGGTCAGGGAACTAAGATCCTGTAAGCCCCATGGGGCAGCTGAAAAAAAGAGACTGTTTGGTACTGAATAGCCTTTAGAACTACAGTTACTCTCCCCAGTATGTCAGTGGAAAACGCAGCATGTCAGGGGCTGACTCTGTCCTGGGCTTGCTGTGTTAATTCAGTTGTTCATGTGTAAAATAAGATAATGATACTTTGGTTTCAGAGTGAAAGAGGAAATGTATAAGAAAGATCCCAGTAGGTACATATTACCTGCTAGGTTGCTGATGCTATTATCCAAGTCTGTTGAATCCGCCAGGAAGGGAAAGAAAAGTAGTTGCCCATATTGTTTCTACTACTAACCATTGGCTAGATCATCATGTGGACAGACTAGGTTCTGAGGAAGTGAAGAAATGCTGGCTTTAGCTGGGTAGCCATAGGCAAGGTAAAATTTCAATTAATATAGAAACAGAAAATGGATATTGAGGAGACAGGTAGCAATCTGCAAGTGTCTACCTCTTTGATCATGCAAATTTCTAACTCTGTTTCACTCACAGACCCACCCTCACCAAAGGGTAGATTATCTGACACCTGTTCTTTTTTTGTGTGTGTCCTTGAATATCTGAAAATGTCTTTATTTGGCACAAAATTCTAGGTAAAAACTGTTTTCCCCCAGATATTTGAAGGTTCTACTGCCTTCCAGTGTTGATTGATACCTCCTGTCTGATAATAGTGATCTCATGACTCTTTGTTGATGACATGCCTTTTCTCTCTGAAAGTGTTTACAATCTTCTCTTTGTCCTTTATGCTCTGAAATCGCAAAAGGATGTGCAGCTGTGTATATTTTTCATTTCCCCTTTTCAGTTCTGGTCTTCCCTGGTGGCTCAGATGGTAAAGAATCTGCCAGCAATGCGGAAGACCTGGGTTTGATCCCTGCATTGGGAAGATCTCCTGGAGAAGGGCATGGCAGCCTGCTCCAGTATTCTTGCCTGGAGACTCCCCATGGACAGAGGAGCCTGGCAGTCTACTGTCCGTGGGATCCCAAAGAGTCGGACATGACTGAGCATCTAAGCACAGCATTTCTCAGTTGTAATGCTGAGATCTGTTCCTCTTTTGTATATAGCTCAAATATGAAGATCCTTGATGTAGATCAGTCTTCCCATCATATCCATACTTAGATCTCTGTTGTCTGATAATTTACAAGCCAAATTATCTATCTTTCCTACTCACAGCCTGCTCATTCTACAGTAGTGGAGTACATACAAGATGACTACAGTGAAAACTGTCTTTGGGAAAAGAAAGGATGGGAAATACACCACAGTCACTAAACCATTTGTTGTTTAGTTGCCAAGTTGTGTCCAGCTCTTTACAACCCCATGGACTGTAGCCCACCAGACACCTCTGTCCATGGGATTCTCCAGGAAGAATACTGGAGTGGGTTGCCATTTCCTTCTCCAGGGGATCTTCTGATCCAGGGATTGAACCCATGTGTCCTGCATTGCAGGCAGACTCTTCACCACTGAGCCACCAGGGACGCCCTCACTAAACCATACAAATGACCAAATTTTACTGCTCAGGAAATACCATAGTTACCTGTCCTTGTAATGGAATATGTTCTTAAAATAGCTGTCTAGAGATTTCCAGGAGGTTTAAACAGCTGAGAGGAGCTCCCTACCTATTGTCCTCTGTCCCCTGGCTTTGCTTTCAGGAAGGTTCCATTTTGCTCATGCACCTCCATGACCACATTTAAAAAGAACCACAGAGATTATAGATTATGCCCTCTTGAGCTATGCACAAATTTCAAAACCTATTTCCTCCTGGTGCAGTTTTACAGATTCAGAAATATAAAGTTCAAAAAATTATAAATGTTTGCAAGTCTGGCATGTGGTTTTATTGGCACACAGTTCCTTCAATAATGTAATAAACTTCTAGTCTATAATTCTAGTTAGTTTATTGTAATAAATTAACAAGTTTTCTCATCCAAAACATAAACTTTATTTTTTCATTTATTCATTTTCACATGTTTTAAAATTTCTTTTGTATTGAGGTGACATTGATTTATAACATTATGTAAGTTTCATGTGTACAACATTGCATTTCTAGTTCTGTAGAACCAACACTATGCTCATCACCAAAAATGTATTTCCGGTCTGCCACTATACAGTAGGTCACCTTAATCCATTTCATCTTCCCCTCCACCTCTTTCCTTTTGGTGATCACTACTCTGTTCTCTGTATATCCATGTGTGTTTTTATGTGGTTTGGATTGTTCACTTACTTTGTTTCTTTTTCTTTTTTTGGTTGTTTTTTAAAATACATATATGAGTGAAATGGGACAGTATTTTGTGTTTGTCTGACTTGTTTCACTTAGCAGAATGCCCTTATCAAGATCCATCCCTGTTGTCGCATATGGCAAGAGTTTGGTCTTTTTAATGACTGAGAATTATTTCATTGTATATATATACCACAGCTTCTTTATCCATTCATCTGTTAATGGGCGCTCACCTATTTTTTTTTAAATGTTTATTTATTTATTTGACTGTGTCATCTCAGTTGTGTCACATGGGATCTTCGCTGAAGCACGTGGGGTGTTTAGATACGGCACACACAGGCTCTTCTATAGTCGTGGCACATGGGCTCTGGAGCATGTGGGCTGAGTAGGGGTGGTGCATGGGCTTCATTGCCCCATGGCATGTGTGGTCTTAGTTCCCTGACCAGAGACTGAACCTGCGTCCCCTGCATTGAAAGGCGGATCCTTAACCACTGGACCACCAGGGAGGTCCCTCACCTGTTTTTTTTTTAAATGATGCTTTTCTCTGCTAAAAACATTTAAATTTCTAAGACTTGTATTTCTAAAATTTGATGAAGGTTTGTTGGTAGGTGGGAATGATATAAATTCTATATCTACCTGTTGCCTGTCAGAAGATTAAACAAGTGCTTCTTATGCAGAGGAAGAAGAGGAGGAAGATGAGGATGATAACATGTCCACGGTAATGAGGCTGAGGACTAAAATGCCATGGAAGACCTGTTGGCGGTATCTCACTTCTGGAGGATTCTTCTTGCTCTTCCTGATGATTTTCTCTAAGCTTCTGAAACATTCCGTCATTGTAGCGATAGACTACTGGCTGGCCACGTGGACCTCAGAGTATAGTATAACCAGTACTGGAAAAACTGATCAGGTACAGTGGGTTTTGTTTTTACATTATCTAGGAAATGTTGAGATGATACTCTTATCTAGTTAGATACAAATAGCTCAGATGTCACAGGAATTTTGTGAGGTTTTTTTGTTTGTTTTTATTGGAGTATAGTTGATTTACAATAGTGTGTTAATTTCTGTGGTACAGCAAAGTGATTCAGGTATACATACTATACATTCTTTTTCATATTCTTTTCCATTGTGGCTTATTATAGTATACTGATTATAGTTTCCTGTGCTATAGACTAGACCTTGGTGCTTATCCATTCTCTGTGTAATACTTTACAGCTGCTATTCCTGAGCTCCCAATCCATCCCTACCCTACCTGGCTCCTCCTTTGCAACCAAAGGTCTGTCCTCTGTGACTGTCACAGTACTTTTGTAATGATTCAATAGGTTAATTAGGGCAAGACCTGAAATATAATAAGGAATATTTAATGATAATGCTTGGGTTTGGATTCAAGGGAGTTATATACATGGTGTGTGTGTGTGTGTGTGTGTGTGTGTGTGTGTGTGTGTGTGTGTGTAATATGCACACAGGACTTTTGTTCTTGTTCTGATGGTATCTGATTTTAACTGCTATACCAATGAATCAGCTGGTCATTCTGAGATTACAGATAGAAAGAACTTTATGATATTAAAAAGTCAAGAATATTTCAAACTAGAAAACTAACTCTAATGCTTCATCTACACTTTGGCAAACCCTGAAAGAGAGTGAAGGGAACGAGCGGGAACTCGGTCATGGGGTTATGGTGGGGATACTGCCCTGAGTATCCCCAGGAGTATCCCCAGGAGAACTACCCTCCTTCCACTGTGTAAATTAATGTGAGATCATAGAAATTGACAATATTGCCAGACTTTGACATTTGGTGTCCTAGCAAGAAAAAACTCAGTTGATAATATCATCTGTGCTTTTTTGTATTGGTTGCTTTTTAGACCTACTATGTGGCTGGATTTAGCATACTTTGTGGAGCAGGTATTTTCCTCTGCCTTGTTACATCTCTCACTGTGGAATGGATGGGTCTCACAGCTGCTAAAAATCTTCACCACAATCTCCTTAATAAAATAATTCTTGGACCAATAAGGTAAAAAAGTAGTTATTTATTTTACAAGATCATAAAAATATGCATTCTACATTAAAGTGAAGTGTGAAATTTTAAAGAATTTATTCAGTCTTTCAGCAGATGAATAGGGATAGTCTCATTTTTATGACACCAAGATGTCTATTAGCAGTGTTTAGGCTCCAGATCATTTAGAATTATAATACATCCAATCTGTTTATTGCCTAGATTCTTTGATACCACACCACTGGGACTGATTCTCAATCGCTTTTCAGCTGATACAAATATCATTGATCAGGTGAGTGCCTGAATTACTTCCAAGTTCAAAAATAAATTTATCATTGTAAGCTAAACAACATTTTAAGATAAATCATGATTCCTGTTAACAGTAGAGGATTTCTAGAACCTAAATAAAAGCTATTTGCATTCATATCAATATTACATATATACATAAATTTCTAGACTATGCAGTCTCTGAAATATGCATAGATTTCTAGAATGAAATCTTAAAGGAAATAGATCAATTCGAAATAATTTATCCACATGGAAGAGGATACTTAGAGAATCAGCATGAAATAGAAATAGAAAAGAATGAACATTAAATTTTTTTATTGTAAAAAGAAGTGATTTTAATCAGTGTTGTATCTCCATTCATAGTAACGTTCTTAAAGTTTAGAATTAATGCAGAGTGTCTCCTAGAAGTGAAGCATGGAATACCAAGTTGTCTTAGATGTCCTTCACTTTTGTTAGGTTGATGTGATATTACATGATGGGATATTTTAGGGAATATTTCAAGGATGCCCGGTTTAGTCTTAGGTCTTTAGGCCCCCAGAAGTTTGTCCTGAAATTAAAGACCTCAGAGTCTGAAATTGGATCTCTCTATGAACAGACTCTTTAGGGTGATTGAGCGAAGACAGCAAATTCAGTTCTTTCCTTTTCTGATTTTCCAAAGTGGCCTTAAGAACACCTAAATTACCATCAATTAAGGTAAAGAATGATGCATGCAGCTGACTAAAATGTATGTTTAAAAATTTTGATGTTTTCACAATATTAGTGTCAGATTATGCTGCACCTAAAACACTTCGTAAGGAGTACATATTGGAAAAGAAGAGACAGAACACTCCTTATTTGGAAGATGACACTATTGCTACTTAGAGAGTTCAAACAGTTGTGATGAAAGAATCAACTAGGAAGTTTAACAGAATATTTACATTAGATATGTGATACAAAAGCCAGTAACTTTCTCTCCACCAATTAAAAAATTATGTGAAAAATACATTTAACCTATAATAACAGAAAAAACTATAAAAATAGAAATAAGCCTAGTATGAAGAAAAGTGATTCAACTATCCTGGAAATCATAAAAATCCTGTGTCTGTGTGTGTGTGTGTTTACTTTCCTTATCAGATACCTAAGAAATACTGTGAAATTAAAACACTCTGATGATTACAGAAAAGAAATTGATCAAAAGAACAAAATTAAGAAGTCAAAAATACCAGTCTATCTTGAATCAGTAATAACGGGAATGTTTTTTCAGTAAAGGATGTTGGGACATTTAACTATTTATAAAATACACAGCAAATGCACATGTAATAAAGGAGCCCATCTAATAACATAAAAATGTAAAATAAAATGTAGAAGAATACTTTTAGAAAACATGGGAAGTGTCTTTATAAGACACAAAATTCAAAAACAAACAAAAAGCCAACAGAAATGGCTCTAAAATTTTAAATTTCTATTGAGGTAAAAGCATCATATTTAAAATATAATATATCCTTTGAGAGAAAAACTGGCAACTCATGTAAAGAAAGAGGATAAACATCCATGATATATAAAAAGCATCTAAAAATCAATAAGGAAGATAAACAATCCAGTTGAAAAGCATGCAAAGAATAATATGCAATTAAAATTATTAGAGGTATAATTGAAGAGTTTTTTAATACTATGCAGCCCTTAAAAAGAAATAGATTTGTATATAGTGGCATGGGTATAATTACAATCCATCTTATTCAGTAAAACAAAGCAAGCAAATGGACAAAGGAGGTTTAGAGTTTATGTTTATGCTATTTATATAAAATAGTTTATGCTATTTGTTTAAAAAATCCCATAAGATATTAATAAATAGGTAGATAGGTAAATAACTGACCACTGGTTAAGCAGATAGGTAGAAAGATGGTAAATATACTAAACAAGGGGAAGTGAGTGAAATTGAAGGAGTGATGAATTGCTTACAGCGAAAATGTTTATATATTAATTTTGGAACTAATTATGTAACTTAATATAAAATTAATGTGTTGTTGCCTTATTACCAATGTTTTATTTGAGCTAAAACATTTTCCTTTCAAACTGCCTTCTTACCAGCATATCCCTCCGACTTTGGAATCTCTAACTCGGTCAACACTGCTCTGTGTGTCTGCAATTGGCATGATTTCTTATGCCACCCCTGTGTTCCTGGTTGCACTAGTGCCTCTTGGGGTCGCCTTTTATTTTATCCAGAAATACTTCCGAGTGGCCTCTAAGTAAGTAAAACACTGCTCTGTTCATCTTCAAAAGCCTGTATATTTGATTGACTGTGATTCAGATTTGCTATAATGTTTTGGTGGCTCAGGTGGTAAAGAATCTGTCTGCAATGCAGGAGACCTGTGTTCGATCCCTAGGTCAGGAAGATCACCTGGAGAAGGGCAACGTTACCCACTCCAGTATTCTTGCCTGGAGACTCCCATGGGTAGAGGAGACTGGCAGGCTACAGTCCATGGAGTCGCAAAGAGTCGGGCATGGCTGAATGAGTAACACTGTTACTTTTCTCTAATTAAGATGTGGAATTTGGAAAAGAAACTTAATTTAACTTGATGAAACCTATCCTGATATTAAGTTTCATTTAGAGAGATATTTTGCTTCCACGGCTTCCCTGATAGCTCAGTTGGTAAAGAATCTGCCTGCAATGCAGAAGATTCCAGTTCAATTCCTGGGTCAGGAAGATCCCCTGGAGAAGGGATATGCTACCCACTCCAGTATTCTTGGGCTTCCCTTGTGGCTCAGCTGGTAAAGAATCCGCCTGCAATGTGGGAGACCTGGGTTCAATCCCTGGGTTGGGAAGATCCCCTGGAGAAGGGAAAAAGGTTACCCACTCCAGTATTCTGGCCTAGAGAGTTCCATGGACTATATAGTCCATGGGGTCACAAAGAGTCGGACATGACTGAGTGACTGTCACTTTCACTTTGCTTCTGTAATTGGTTGTCTGAGCCTTTACATAGTCCTAGACTTATGTGAACAAGTTGATTGATCTGGTTGAGTTTTAAGTCCACAGAATATGCCCAATTTTTCATTCCATGGTCCTTTCTCTGAACATGGCATTGACAGAAAATTTATGAAACCAAATATAGCCCCAAAGAATAAGTAATTTAATATTATGTTCTGCAAGTGGGTAAATAAAAATATTTTCAAATGAGTAAAATGCACTCTGTAAAAGATTAGTAGAAGTAAAAAAAAGTTAAAGGGATAAATCAGAGTGATAACTATAAAAGTAGAGAATCTTGAATGTCTGGTAAGAGTACTGTAACTTTAAGAGGTTGGAAATTTCCAGATTGGGTTTTTTAACATGCCCTTGAATATCCAGCCAAATAAAAGATAGCCGTGAATTTTAAATTGTTCTGCTAATATAAGATTTATCATTTGCTGAGATATTGAATAATTAAGTGAAATATAGTACTAGTTGTTTGGAAATTTTCAGTTTAACTTTGAAGTTCTGCCTTAATGGTACTTTAAATTTTATATCATTGCGGTAATCTCTTATTTCAACAAACACTTATTAGGCATTTAGTGTGTTGTAAATAACTGCACAAGCCATGTAACAGAGGAAGAGATCAACATGGCAAGAAGCAGTTCTCAAGAAATCTAGTTTCTCGGGAAGATAAAACATAAATAAGGTAACCCTTATATGTGGATTAAGTGCTGGAATAGGAAGCCAGATATAGAGTTTATTCAGTAAAATGAAAAGATTCAATAGGACTTGATTGCAGGGATAATGAAAAAATTATATGTGTGTATGTATATGTATATATATATATATGTATGTGTATGTATATGTATATATATATATATGTATATATATGTATATATATATAAAATCAGGTAACAGGAAAAAGCAGGATTAAGATTGGGAGTCTCTGGACTGTATCTGCAATTTTTTTTTTTTCTTGCTACATTTCATTATTCATTCAATTTAGAGGCAAGCTGATTTACCTTTAATCTCTGCAGTCTTGTCTTTTCCAGAATGTGACATGATTGGAATTATATAGTATGTGGTCTTGTCAGATTAGCTACTTTCTCTTAGAAATAAGCACTTAAGGTTCATCTGTGTCTTTTCATGGCTTCAAAGCACATTCATAAATTAGAATATTATAAAACTAGTTTATCATTGAATAATATTTATTTTATGAATTGCCATATTTTGTTTATCCATTTACCTATTGAAGGACATCTTCGTTGCTTCTAGCTTGGGGTTATAAATATTATGAATGTGTGTGTGCATACATGCTCAGTTGTGTCTGACTCTTTGTGACCCCTTGGATTGTAGCCCACCAGGCTTTTCTGCCCATGGAATTTTCCAGGCAGGAATGCTGGAGTGGGTTGCCATTTCCACCTCAAGGTTATCTTCCCCACCCAGGGATCAAACCCACATCTCCAGAGTCTCCTGCATTGACAGGTGGATTCTTTACCACTGAGCCACCAGGGAAGCCATTACTATTATGAATAAAACTACTGTAAATATTTGTATGGAGATTTTTGTGTGGACATAGGTTTTAAAATTGGTTGGGTAAATACATAGGAGCATGATTACTTGATAGTATGGTAAAACTGTTCAGTTTTATGAAAAACTGAAAAATTGTCTTACAAAATAGTTGTTCATTTGCAACATTTCTGGAAAAAAAATTGTTTCTCCCTTGGGGATATAAGTTAGGATCCTTCAAATGTTAGGAACATATGTCAGACCTAGAGTGCTTTTTGATCTCTAGCCTCTTCTCTTTGCTCTTAGAAAATTCAGACCAGAAGGAAGAGGCTAGCCATTACATTTGCTCTTTCATTTCTTCTGGTATCACTGTTGATGTTGCTTGCTGGAGGGGCAGAAAAGTTCGGTCACTTCCTTTCTCCTGGCTGTTTCCAAATCTCTTCTTGCCTTCTCACCACTGATATTCAACAGTCATGTTTTACTTCAGACTCATGCTCGTGTGGACCTGTTTTCATATCTGGGCAATAGAAGTTGAGTACAGAGGCCAAGCCAATGATCCTAGTTCTTTACAGATTTGAATTGCTATGTCTTTTCCTCATAGTAGATTATTAAAATGTGGAAGGGATGGTCATTTTTAAAGAGAGAACTTTGATAATGGATTATAAACCATTTTTATTTGAAATTCTCTGGTCATTTGCAAATAGGACCACATGATATTAAATCTCATCCATAAAAAGTCCTCTCGATGCTGAGGTTCTAAATAAAACACTCTTACTGAAAATCTTGAGCAATTTAACACACTATTTTGTAAACACCGAAGGGAATTAAAATGGGGGACTTATTGTTGTTCAGTCGCTCAGTCGTGTCAGACTCTTTGTGACCCCATGGACTGCAGCACGCCAGTCTTCCCTGTCCTTCACTGTCTCCCAGAATTTGCTCAAACTCATGTCCGTTGAGTAGATGATGCCATCTAACCATCTCATACTCTGCCACTCCACTCTCCTCCTGCCCTCAATTGTTCCTAGCATCAGACAGGAAATGCCATTGAATTTTGAATATCTAACATCAAAGACCCCTCTGTGGCTAGCTCTGTAAGTAAGCTTTCCTATTTACAAGAGAATAAGGTCAAGCTGTAACCTCACCTTCCTGGTTTCATAAAACACAGTCCTGTAAAAAGAGGTTCTTCCTTCCTCATCTTTACCCCTTCATGTCAGACCTCATGTAGTGACCACTTGTAGCTTGTGTCAAATTTACAAATAGCCACTGAGTTTTCTGTTTAACAATCACAGACTCTTTACATTCCTTCATATTCCTCCTCCTCTTCACCCCTCTCCTTCCTTCCCCTCATTGAGTTTCTGAAGTGAGAAATTCATTTTAGAAACTCACAGAAGGACTTTGCCTTTGGTCATGGGAGAACCCAGGCAGTCCCAAAAGATCTAAGATTATTTAACAGTTGAAGATTATGTAACAATGTAATCAGTTCCATTGACTGATAGGTGAATATCAGCACTACTACTCTTGATTCCGTCCACCCCCAAAACCTAAGACAGACAGAAAAAAGGCTGAAAAGAAAAATAAAAGCATATCTTGAAACGTGTGATAGAACTGTTAGCCTTCTAGAAAGGCTAGCTTGTGTGATTTACAAAGTTGTTTAGTGTGTGCATCTTTATAGAAAAGGTCTGATTCAGGCATTTGTCCACCAGCCATTCACTGAGCACTTTATTTACCTAAAAATACATGTTGACACTTGGAGGACCAGTGAATGCCAGTTCTATTTATGGAGGAACTCAATCTCATTGTGGCTGAAGCCAGACTCATTGTGTGTCTCTTCTGATGTCTTTCTTCTCTGTCTCCCATCCTAGTAAATAGCACTGTCATCTTCCAAGTCTGCTAAGTAACAAACAAGCCATATTTGACTCCCCTCTCTTTTTAAATTTATTTTATTTTTAATTGAAGTATAATTTACAATACTGTGTTAGCTTCAAGTGTAGAGCAAAGTTGTGTCAGACTCTTTGTGACCCTGTGGACTGAAGCCTACCAGGCTCCTCTGTCCCTGGGATGCTCCAGGCAAGAACTCTGGAGTGGGTTGCCATGCCCTCCTCCAAGGGATCTGCCTCACCCAGGGATAGAACCCATGTCTCTTAGTCTCCTGCATTGGCAGGCGGATTCTTTACTGCTAGCACCACCTGGGAAGCCCATGCATGTATATGTATATACATATACTTTTGCAGATTCTTTTCCACTGTGGATTATTGTGACACATTGAGTATAGTTCCCTGTGCTATATAGTGAGTAGGTCCTTGTTGTTTACCAATCTATTTAGTAATGTATATATGTTAATCCCACATTCCTAACTTCTCTCTTCCCAATCACCTTTGGTAGCCATAAGCTTGTTTTCTGTGTCTGTGTGGCTCTTCTCTCTTATTCACTCTGCTACAATGAGTTGATTGTAGCAGTTTAGAAGGCTACTTCTAATAAGCTATCTCACAGTCTCCCCCTCTATTAAATTGTACCAGCATCACACCTAATTCAGAATTTCTAACAAGTTCTGATAAACTATCCTTACTCAGTCTCTTCCATCCTTTACACTGTCTCCAAATTACGTTGCTTTAAGCAAGCTCTGGTCATTTTATTTCTCGTCCCCAGTGATTTTTTTTCCCAGCCCATTCAGGATCTTCTACAGTCTAGCCCCTCCCCCCATTCCTTGTCCAGCCTTTTCCCATGACAGCATCCCCAAAGGACCCTGGTCACCAGCCAGATTGAATTCGCCAGTTCTTTAGTCTTCTGTACTTGCTTTGGTTTGTTCCCTTAGCTGGAATGTACTTCTTGTCTGTTTGGTTGAAGCACACTGCTCATGCTTAAGGTTTGGCCTAAGTAACACCTGCTCAAAGAAAACATTTCCCATCTCGTACATTAATTGCTCCTTCCTGTGTGTCCCCATAGAAGTTTACTTTAACTGTGATACAAAACTGATACTTTTGTACAACACATAACATTCAGCCTAGACCCATGTTTATTATGTAATATTTATTTTCCTCTTCCTCTTTAGATTATAAGCTGTTGGATTTTTGTTGTTGAATGTTGGAGGAAAATATGTGGGTTGGCCAAAAAGTTTGTTCAGATTTTTCCAAAAGATGGGAAAATCCAAATGAACCTTTTGGCCAACCCAGTAGTTACTCTGACAAATAATAACCTTAATTTAGAATGAACAAAGCCCCCAGATCAGACAGTAAAGAATCTGCCTGCAGTGTAGGATACCCAGGTTAGATCCCTGGGTTAGAAAGATCCCTTGGAGAAGGGAATAGCAACCCAGTCCTGTATTCTTGCCTGGAGAATTCCATGGACAGAGAAACCTGGCAAGGTACAGTGCTTGGTGTCTCAGAGTTGGAAACGACTGAGTGACTAACACACACACAGTATTCTTTGAGTCTGAATGAGCGCAAAGTTTGTTTTTGTATTTGTCTCTGCCCTAGGGACCTCCAGGAACTTGATGACAGTACCCAGCTGCCTCTGCTTTGCCACTTCTCAGAAACTGCTGAAGGGCTCACTACCATTCGGGCATTTAGGTGAGTAAACATGTTTTCATTTTGTTGATTAGGCAGTTAACATCATCAACAAATATTTGCCTACAAATAACTGATCATTGCTCCCATTTTCCGATGCCCCACTGTGTGTGTGCCTGTGTTCTAAACTAGTGGTAAGAAAAACATGACAATAAACGATCACAGAGGGCTTCCCACGTGGCTCACTGGTAAAGAATCCTCCCGCCAGTGCAGGAGATTCGGGTTCAATCCCTGGGTCAGGAAGATCCCCTGGAGAAGGAAATGACAACCTGCTTCAGTATTGTTGCCTGGAAAGTCCCATGGACAGAAGAATCTGGTGGACTGCAGTCTATGGAGTTTGCAAGAAGAGTTGGACATGATTTAGTGACTAAACAACAACAACAACAACAACAAATGATCATAGTTATTTGAAATTTTAACGAGAATAAAGAAAGAATTCAGCATCATGTTGGATAGATACTACCTGTGTGATTTAGACTAGGCTTTTGAATTCCCTAACCTCATCTGTGAAATAGGGAAAACCATTTTGCTTTTTAGGGTCATTGGACTAATTGATATAATGCATGTAAAGCATTAGGGATTTCCTGGTAGCTCAGCTGGAAAGAATCTGCCTGCATTGCAGGGAAACCTGGTTCAATTCGTGGGTCCAGAAGATCCCCTGAAGAGGGGATAGGCTACCCACTCCAGTATTCTAGGGCTTCGTGGCTCAGATGGTAAAGAATCCATCTGCAATGCAGGAGACCTGGCTTCGATCCCTGGATTGGGAAGATCCCCTGGAGAAGGAAATGGCAACTCACTCCAGTATTCTTGCCTGGAGAATCCCATGGACAGAGGAGCCTAGTGGGCTATATATAGTCCATGGGGTTGCAAACAGTCGGACAGGACTGAGTGACTTTCACTTTTCATGTAAAGCATTGACTTCCCCAGTGGCTCAGTGGTAAAAAAAAATCTGCCTGCAGTGCAGGAGACGGTGGTTCAATCCCTGGATTGGGAAGATTCCCTGGAGGAGGCAATGGCTACCCACTCCAGTGTCCTTTTTGGACAATCCCATGGACAGAGGAGCCTGGCAGGCTATAGTCTGTGAGGTCACAAAGAGTTGGATGCAACTGAGCACACACACCTAAAGCATTAACCACAGTGATTAGCAAAGAAGTAACATAGAAGCTAAAATACATGCATTAATAATAATAATAAAAGAAATATTATTACACCAAAGTTACTTCAGGCTTTAAATAGTTTTTCTTCAATGTTGGTAAACATTGAAGTAATATCCCAAGATTTTCATCAAGAGAGTTTACCTAATACTCAAAAAATTACCTGGCTCTATTTTCCCTATTCAGGTAAAATCAGAAAAGGAGGTGGCATCCTTGAATGTTATATTTAATCTAGAAAATAAACTTGTTAAAATGTTATATCTTTCTGCAGCACTAAATGCAAACCTGTAGCGATTTCAGTCAGAGAGTTTTCTAACCTAAGAAATATTTGAATCACATAAAAGTGTGTATATAATAGAGTCAAAAGTAGAATATAAAGATACAGCCACTATCTACAACATGTACCACAGAATTTCTGCATAAATCTACCTAGATTTCATAGTGGAACATTTATAGTTTTCACAGAGATGTGTTTTCCCATCAAAGTGTGCAATACCTTTTATTAGACGTGGAAGAATCATTGATTGACTTTGAATGTAGGTATTAAGACATAAAAGACCCTGATGCTGGGAAAGATTGGCGGCAGGAGGAGAAGGGGATGACAGAGGATGAGATGGTTGGATGGCATCACCGACTCAATGGACACAGGTTTGGGTGAACTCCGGGAGTTGGTGATGGACAGGGAGGCCTGGTGTGCTGTGGTTCATGGGGTCGCAAAGAGTCACACATGACTGAGCAACTGAACTGAACTGATTAAGACATAATTTGTGTTCTAATAGTAGCCAGCAACGCCCAGTGGTACTCATGAGTACACCATGTTAAGAATTTCATTTTTTCAGCAAAGTCCTTTCGAGTTAATTTATCTGAGTTTTGAACACATGCCAAGTGCTAGTCTTGCAATGAATATAGAAAGACTCCAAAGATATGGCCTTTTATTTCTACCCCAGATAAATACCACAGGGGAAATGGTTGGGATAACATGGCAGGTAGGGAACAAGCAGTGGCCTGATTCAGGCAAGCTGGCAGGTGGAACAGAAAACAGCCTCTGTCTTCTCCATGAATAACAAGTGAGATCATTCACTGAGAATGATGAGGACTGGACCATGTAAAACATCTTGAAGAAAATGAGCACGGTCTCAGATGAAAGAGAAACTTGACCGAAAGTCAAGGTTTAAATTTTTCATTTAATCGTCTATTCATCACTAGACACATGAGCAGAATTTGGCTTGACTGTTCCTAATTTTACATCAGGAAAATTCTAGGGAGCTCTAAGAAGGACAAACTATGACATATCACCTAAGACTTGAATGAGGCCTCCCAGATGGCTCAGTGGTAAGGAATCCACCTGCCAATGCAGGAAATGCAGGTTTGATCCCTGGAGCAGGAAGATCCCCTGGAGAAGGAAATGGCAACCCACTCCAGTATTCTTGCCTAGAAAATCGCATGGACAGAGGAGGCCAGTGGACTATAGTGCGTGGGTCTCAAAGGGGCAGACACGACTTAGCAAGTGAACAACAGTTTAGAATCAAACACATTCTTTTCCATCTGCTTCTTCCTCTCTTTCAGGCTAGTAAGAGTCCCCAGAGTCGTCAGCTCTCTGGAAAGTTTGTATTTACTGATTAGGCTGCTTTCCTCCCCTGCGTTCAGGGTTCACGGTGTACTCAGAGGCAGCATGAACTAACCTCAAGTAGTTTACCACCAGAGGATCACAGTTAAATTAGACTGAGATTTCAGTGACCTTTCCTACTTTTTTTTTGGTCTGACAGAATAAAGGTCTAAGAATGTTCAGAAGATGAGCTGGATGTGGATGAAAAGATACAGACTGAGTGTGTCAAAGTTTCCATTAGGAAAACAGAAGGGTTCTTGCCAAATAGAAACACACAGAAAGAATGTTCGCTGCATTTCCACCCCTCCCCTTTCACTGCTGCTTCAGACTGTTGCCAGCTCCATTTACAAACTCTTTAAGAGTGTATCTGCAACAATATCCCCAAACTAGAGGGAGAGGAAGAAGAGTCCCAGACAAAACACTTTGTCGCAATGAAGTGTTGGATGTTCGTCTTAACTGGAGTCCACAGGCTTTGGTCCAAGTTTCCCCCTCCCCACATCTCTCCATCATCACAGCCCTCTAGGAAGGGGGACCCTGACTCCAGTTCCTGACCTTGTTTTCTCATTTCTGTTCCTTAGTTCATGTTGTTGCCGATACTTCCAATGCTTTTGTCCCTCCTTGTCCACCTGAAATATTCTGTGAACCAGTGAAGTTGCTCAGTCGTGCCCGACTCTTTGTGATCCCATGGACTGTAGCCTACCAGGCTCATCCACCCATGGAGTTTTTCAGGCAAGAGTGCTGGAGTGGATTGCCGTTTCCTTCTTCAGGGTATCTTCCCAACCCAGGGATCGAACCCAGGTCTCCCGCATTACAGGCAGACGCTTTACCACCTGAGCCACCAGGAAAGCCCTAAAAAATTCAGCCCATTTCTTAAAACCTCATTCAGTCCATCTTCCCAGTCCATCCCAGAGATGGTTTATCCATCTCTCCCCACCCTCCACCCCATTCCCTGCCATTCTGGTCTTTTAGCCAGTGCAAACCTTCCCCTTCCTTTTTATTCACGTAGCATTTTTCACATAGGGCCTTTATGATTGGCTTCTGTGTTGAGCCATCTTTACTTGCTCATACTACAACAATACCATGCTTACCTCTTTCGCTGGACAATGTGCTTCTCTAGGGCAGAGGTTGTGTCTTGTTCATACATATATGTTGTGATGTCTCGCTTTGAGCTCATGCTTGCTAAATGTTCCTGAATGAGTGGGTGAAAATCCACCCAATAATGCAAATGCAGAATTGGATATATCTGTTCGCAGTTGAGATCCACTATCTCAGTAAATCCTATAACTGTGAGTCATCCTATGTTAATTATTTATTCTGTCCCTGGTGGCTCAGCTAGGAAAGAATTGGCCTGAAATGCGGGAGACCTGGGTTCGATCCCTGGGTTGAGAAGGTCCCTGGAGGAGGGCATGGCAACCACTTCAGTATTCTTTCCTGGAGAATCCCTATAGACAGAGGAGCCTGGTGGGCTACGGTCCATGGGGTCGGACATGACTGGGTGACTAAGCGCACATCTGTATGAGGGTCATGATGAGGCTAGTCCTGTTTCTCTGTCTGATTCGTCCCGCCCAGTGTATTGCTATTCAGCGCAGGTCCTCCTGTGCATGGCATTTGGGTCAAGGCTACATAACTCAAAGTGAGGTAATTATTTGGCTCTGATTGTCAAATCCTTTGATTATCGTAGATCAGATGTTGCTGTCTGACTCAATTATCTGATTTTTCTGGTTTGGCATGTTGGAGTGATCAGATTGACTGGATAAATCCCAACTATCTGCTTTATATTGGCCTGTATGGATGGCTTCACGGGCCAAGTGAACACCCTACCCGGACTTCTTCATTTTTGACATAGTGATAGTTTACTGTAAACTTTTGCAAATTGATTGGAAGATTTGGGGCGATGGTGGGGGGGGGCGGGTATTTGGAGCAGTCTTTTATCAACGAGGAATCACCATCAGGCTGTCAGATGAAATTTGGTTATTCTCTGCAAACATAACACATAGACAGGAGGTCTCTGTAAGATAAGCCGAAGCCACAGAAAGTTGAATTTGGCACTTCCTCCAACCTTCCAATCAGTTATTTTGTTTATATGATCCAGCTTTCCATTGTTTCTGTTACCCAGGGAAAATAATTGAAAAATAAAGAGAGACTATTTTTGTGATCTAGAAAAGATTTATCAACATGGAACATGAGTTTCTGTGAGAAGTAGCTCCCATGTTCAAATGGATGAAGTTTCTTTTTAAAAAATATTTATTTATTTTTCTGCATCAGGTTTTAGTTGCAACATTTGGGCTTAGTTACTGTGCGGCATGCAGAATCTTAGTTCACTGCCTAGGGATTGAACCAGCATCCTCTGCACTCCGAGGCAGATTCTTAACCACTGGACCACCAAGGAAATTCCTGGATGAGGTTTTTATTAGAAGTTTCCTTTGTAACAAAGGTTACACAGAATTTGGTCTGATTATGTTGATCACCAAGAATGAACTTAATTTGACCCAGCATCAGTATCTAAACTGTATGTGTCATGTTGTTGTTTAATTGCTAAGTCATGTCCGACTCTTTGCAACCCCATGGACTGTAGCCCACCAGGCTCCTCTGTCCATAGGATTTCCCAGGCATGAATACTGGAGTGGGTTGCTGTTTCCTTTTCCAGGGGATCTTCTCATAGTTCCAGGGATTGAACTAGGAGTCTTCTGCATCACAGGCAGATTCTTTACCACTGAAGTCACCAGGGAACATGTGTATGTGTCCTGCTGCTGCTGCTGCTACGTCGCTTCAGTCTTGTCCAGCTGTGCGACCCCATAGACGGCAGCCCACCAAGCATCCCCATCCCTGGGATTCTCCAGACAAGAACACTGGAGTGGGTTGCCATTTCCTTCCCCAATGCATGAAAGTGACAAGTGAAAGTGAAGTTGCTCAGTCATGTCCGACTCAGATCCCCATAAATACTACACACCAAGAGCTTCTTTCATGCAATGACCATTCTTACAAATAATTTGTAACTTTGAGGTGTAAGATACCTTGCTTAACAAGGACATCTGCCATTCCCAAGGACCCTCATCCTCTACCTCTTGCCACCTCATTGTCCTTTGATTTCCAGAAACTGAGCGAAAAGAACATTTTTAAGGTATATATATTTGCCTGTTACAAACCCATAGTTTCCTGTCTTTTGTGAGTCTCTTCTAGTTCCTTCTACCCAACTCCACCCATGCCTTGTGGAAAAGTAAGATACATGCAGTAAAATCTAGGTCAAATGTATTGCATTTCTGTACAACTTCTTCTGGGTTATGTAGGGCCCTTGAGACACTGGCCGTGCCTTGTTTTCACGGTTACTATCCTTACGTAGAAATTTATGAAATGATCTTTAGTAGGACTTTGTCGTCGGAAACATTCCTTTCTGTAGCAGAGGTTGAGACAGGAAGGAACTACTGCTCCATGCCATCTCTCAGGAAGGGTGCAAGAGAGCAGTAGCAGTTGGCCTTTATTTGTAAGTAGTCCGTTTACTAGTCATTCCATCCCACCAGTTCGTCACCGTGTGGAGTAAATAATGTAGTAGGAAGTGTGACTGTTTTTTATTATTTCTCCTGTTGTGTGGCTAGCATCATAATATTTTTGTTTTCTGCAGGCATGAGACCAGATTTAAGCAACGAATGCTGGAACTGACAGACACTAACAACATTGCCTACTTATTCCTGTCAGCTGCCAACAGATGGCTGGAGGTCAGAACGGTACGTTCATTTCATGATTTCGAAATGGAAACCACACAGAGAAGAGGCCTGATGCAAAGAGGGAGACAGTTGTAAAAACTAGGCTTCCACTGAGATTTAGCACTCACTCGACATTTTTCTGGACTTTAGCTCAGGTTTGTTTATGGTATAGATGAAATTTGTCATGATGTTTTTAGCTAATGGCAAGACAGATAGCCCCAAAAGCAAAAATTCATTTTGTGTTCATTAGTGGCCAGATGACATAAGTTAATGGAATAGCAAATATTTGTATAACTTCAGGTGTTTTTTTTTTTTCCCCCAAAATTTGACAAGTGAACAGATGTACTCACTTCTACTGAACTGGCCCAGCCTGGAAGAGATGGCAGCTTTCTATTTTAAGCCAGTGGAGGGTCATGTTAGCCCAAATGTAAAAACTTGCAGTTATTCATCTGTTGCCTTCTTTTGTCCTGTATAAAGGAGGAGAATGGGTATAAGCTTAGGCATTGTACAGACTTGGTCTAGCAAGTTAACAAATTTATTTGGGTCGCAGTTTGCCATTTGTAAACTAGGAATATGACTTCATGGGTGTGTTAGATTTAAAAATAGTAATATAAGTCCTGTAGCTCACTTATTGGCAGGTACACTCAACAAATGTCTTGAATGGATGGATGCATGGATGAATGAATAAATGAATGGAAATGGTACCTGCCTTGGTAAGTGGTTAATAAGTCAACCACTCCTAATAAATGAAAGAGGAGATAGGTTAGACCCAAGTTCCAGAGGGAAGGAGATGTCGTTTGCAGACTGGGCTGTGTAATCTGCAGTATGAATAAGCAATTTTGGTAGAAATGATGAGTTGACTGTCATCTTTTCTTTAAAAATAATTATCTATCAGTTTGTGAAAAGGAAAAGGAGGTTTATCTGCATTATTGTTAAGAACCTCACTTCCACTGATTAAGCATGCCTGCCATATGAAGGCTCTTTTTCAAAACTCAGTGGATCAGAGAGGGCATCTGGGAATGGGAATTTGATAAAGTGGAAAGGAAGGAGCCCAAATTAAAATCTGAGTGGTTGATGGATTGATAACATATTGATAGAGAATCTCGGGTCCCCCTGTAAGCTGTAGTTGTCATAATTTGTCACTAATAACAGATTCTCTACCACTATATTGTGCTGTGTTGTGTTGTTGTGTAGAAATTATCCAGCAACATAGCACAATTATATTTCAAAAATTTTAAATAGATAAGAAATTTCTTCCAGATCACTGTGGGGGTTGGGAGGGGGCAGGGCAGAGATTTTCCAATTACCTATAAGTAACAGAAAGGCAGGTGAAGTGTTTGGGATTTATAACAGAAACAAAATACTATTCCTAGATCTTACCCAGACCCTAAATCCTTGCTTTAAGCTTCTGTGTGTTTGCTCAAATCTGTTTTCTCCGAGGAAAAGAGAGCATATCTGAATAACAGAACTAGTGATGAAACAGCTTAATCAGACAATGTCCTAAAATCACAGGGGGTGAAATGTCAGTAGTTGCCTTTGTGTTTGATTTTCCTGATGCTGAAGATCAAGTGTGTTTTTTAGGGGCGAGTGTGTTTGCTTTGGACTTGAGGTGAGTGTCTGACTTCACTCCTGCTTCTCCTCTTTAGCACTTCCTACTGTCAGGTTAATGGACAAACGTTTAACAAGAATCTTCAAGCAAACCATATGTTCTGCTCTTGTAGCCAGAAGACAAGATATTAGAGCGTTCAGACTGCCAAGAAAGGGAAGTTCAGGAAAAATTAGAGAGAAATAGCAGCCAGATTCAGGGTGGGTTAGTTTAGCTTGACTCATATCCCGCTACTTAACTCCCCCCATTAAAGGCAGCTGGACCTACTTGAATATAAATGAATTCTAGTTCCACTTGTAGAAATCTAAAAAAAAAAAGAAAGAAATATGATATTTGAAAAAGGAAGGGGAGAATCTGCCATTCATTCTATTACCTTATAACACATCTGTTTTTGTGTCTTTTTTTCTTTTCTGTGTATTATAATCTTTCCACAACTTGCTATTTGGTCTCATTACCAGATCTGTCCCTTAAAAACCAACACAAGAAAGTTAGAGAGTCCTTTGCTCTATTCCTGATGAATAAATATAAAATTTGTTAAGAAACTTGTTGATTTATTGCAACATTCCAGGCATATCTGCTGATAGAATTCAAGGTCGAGAGTCTTTTGTGGATGATTTTGTCTCTTTCATCTCTCATATTTGTTTTATCAATAAGTTTATGTGGGTATAAAGAACCTGCCTGCCAATGCAGGAGATATAAGAGACCCTGGTATGATCCGTGGGTTGGGAAGATCCCCTGGAGGAGGGCATGGCATCCCACTCCAGTGTTCTTGCCTGGAGAATCCCATGGACAGAGGAGCCTGGTGGGCTACCGTCCATGGGTTGCAAAGAGTTGGATGTGACTGAGGCAACTTAGCACATACACATATACACAAACACACACACACGCACACACATACACATACACAAACTCACATGCACACATACCCTTCTAGACAATCGCAGAAATCCAACTTGAAACCAGTCAGATTTATTCTACTATTCTGTACACTGAAAGTACAGGGTTTTCATTAGAACCAGAATATTTAGAATATTAGAATGTTTATTTGAATATAAATGCTATAATCCAAGAACATATGTTCCACAATAGGAGTGTTGAATAAATAGAACAGATAACTCTAATTAGGAAATAACCTTTCTCCCAACTGTACACATGTAAATGACCTCATTACTACTGTGCGTTACTGGAGACACAATTTCAGTTTGAAATAAATGGATCTTGTTTCAGAAATATGAGAAATATAAACGTTCAGATATAGGACCTTGGAGACTGGGGTGTGAACTGCTCTTTGAACCCTGCAGCTGGATACTTTCTGCATTGTAAGTCATTTACAACAAGATAATAATGAAAACCTCTATCTGGCCCACTGATGCTGCATTGATCTTATCTGCAGTATCAACACAGCTGCCTCCATTCCCTATTCTCTGATATGTAAACCAGCAAATTAACAAAAATGTCTCCTTATCGCAAATAATCTGGGAGCTCCCATAGCAGAAGCACAGACAGTTGGTACCAGGACGGGAGCAACCTTAGGAAGAGTTCAGAAAAGGCCAGCAGGTCTCCTGATGCGGATCTGAGGAGCTCACCAACTCAGCATATTCAAAAGCAGAGACATCAGTTTGCTGACAAAAGTCCATCTAGTCATGTAGTCATGTGTGGATGTGGGAGTTCCTGACCATAAGGAAGGCTGAGCGCTAAAGAACTGTGGTGCTTTTGAACTGTGCTGCTGATTCTTGAGAGTCCCTTGGACCGCAAGGAGATCAAGTCAGTCAATCCTAAAGCAAATAACTCCTGAATATTCACTGGAAGAACTGATGCGGAAGCTGAAGCTCCAATACTTTGGCCACTTGATGCAAAGAGTTAGCTCTTTGGAAAAGACCCTGATGCTGGGAAAGATTGAGGACAGGAGGAGAAGGGAGCCACAGAAGCTGAGATGGTTGGATGGCATCACTGACTCAATGGCCATGAGTTTGAGCAAGCTCTGAGAGATAGTGAGGAACAGGGAAGCCTGCCGTGCTGCAGTCCATGGGATCGCAAAGAGTGCAACTGATGACTGAACAACAAAATGACCTCCATGGAGAGAAAGAGGAGAAAGCTTACCATAGTTTCCCGTGACTGTTTTTCCTTTTTTCTTCATTCGCAATTTTAGTTTTCTGGAGCAATGCCATTGGATTCTGTGGACACTCAATCTCCAAGAGAAGTAAGGGATAAAAGGATAAAAATACCTTTTTTGAATTCGGGAAGATCCCCAAGCCCCATCCAATTTTTATTATCTTTTTTTTTCCCAAATATATGGCTTTCATTTCTTTTTCTATTCATGCTAGATAAGTATTAAGGCAATTACAGAGGCTTCCCTGGTGGCTCAGTGGGTAAAGAATCTGCCTGCAATGCAGGAGACCTAGGTTCGATCCCTAGGTCAGGAAGATCCCCTGAAGGAGGGCATGGCAACCCACTCCAGTATTCTTGAGAATCCCCATAGACAGCGGAACCTGGTGGGCTACAGCCCATAGGGTCTCTAGGAATCAGACATGACTGAGTGACTAACACACAAAAGACAATTACAAAGTATTCCCTTTTTCTGGCTGAAGAGTGTTAGCCATACAAGATGTAGCCTGCCAACCATGTTCATTTCATGCTTATTCTGAACTGGGGTGAAAAAATGAAGGTCACAGCACATAGCACTCAGAAAAGGACAAGAACCTAAAAGAATAATTTGGCTGGTAGAAAAGTAGCCAGACTGTGACCACCCAGGTTCGTTTGGCAGGGGAAGGGAGTGTTTCTCCTCTGGGTGCCAAGTGAAGTGGACCACAGTCATGTGCAATGTGTCACTGCAGCCTAACCTTTGAATGCTGCTTACGTTCTTTTGTTCAGCACAGCATTTGCTGTTCATCCCTCTGCACTAAACAGTTCCAGTTCTTTGGCATTGGTGTTTCCATTTGCAAAAATTGTGTAACTCTATCTAAAGGGTGTCTTTCCAAGGCTTTGTCTTGCTGTGTGGTGAAAGGATAAAAGAAAAATCACATCAAGAAGCCAAAAAAAAAAAAAAGTCTTTAGAATCAACAGGCTAAAGTGAAAATAATCTTCAGGGTGAACTTGTATGAGAGTCTATTTTGTGAAAGAGTACAGAGCTGTTTTGAGTGTTTACAACTCCATTATAGACAGGTGTGCATTGATCTTGTCATGTGAAGACCCAGACACTCGGTGGAACCATAAACATTGACTTTTTGTTTTTAGACATGGATTTCTGAAGACTATGAAAAAAGAGAGAGATGGTATTCTTATAACTACTAATGAGGTTGTTTTATGGAAACTTACTATTTTCACTATAATCCCACATAGAGATAGAGGTCATTGAATCACTAGAAATCTGACCAGAGGCCTCTCTTTTGACCTGGGGGTCAAAGGCTTCCCTTCT